TGGGAGCCAGGAGTCCGCCGCTTCCTCCCTGGTCATCGCCCACCATACTCATCACCCACTGTACTCACAGTGCAGCCTTTTATCGATCCAGCTTGTGGGACAAGTGGTGCCCACACATCTATCTGTCCACCTCTCTGCTGTCTTGCGGTCACCTCCGGGACCCTGGTGCAGAGCGATCATTTCAGTGCAGTGGGGCCCCCTCGTGGCAGCCAGCTGCATGCTCAGGAGGAGGCCCTGGTGCCCGGTGCCGATGGGAGGCGAGGACTTCGGAAACAGTGCTATGGCAGGCAGGGCCCACTCTGGAGATGTTTCTCATGGTCGGTAGGCCAGGAGGCTGGATTCGTGGTGGTGGCCGAGCACCCGGCACCTGTCCTTGGCTGTCTTCTCCCTGCATCCCTATGTCCTCTCCCCTCCATGATGTCATCTTACCCTAAGGTTCTGCCCCCCAACGCAGTTACATTCTGAGGAGGCTCTGAGTTTTGGGGTGATGCAACTAAGTTCATAGCAGCAGGACTGAGCCTGATGTGGTGACGCACTCTTGTAATTCCCGCATTCAGGAGGCTCACTGTGAGTACAAGACCAGAACTACATAGAGATTCTGTCTCATTCCCCTCTAAACAAAAAGAAAAACAAGATAAGCTTTGTCAACTCTCTATTTTTAAGGCCTCTTTTATAAGGGTACAAATCTCTATGTCACTGCTATATAAATCGTATACAAATTGATATTGTCCTCTTTTGCTTATGGAATAATGCCAAGAAAGGAGTCTGGGTGTTTTGACTAATGTTTTTTTCTTTCTTTTTAAATTTATTTAAATGACTAGGAGGTCTTGTTACGTAGTTCGGGCTGCCTGGAAGTCATGACTGGAATGCTCCTGCCTCAGCTTCCTGAGTATTGGGATTACAGGTGTGAGTCACCACTCTGTGTGTGGTGTTTTATTTTTTTCCTTCTGAGTGCTTTTAATCTGTGTTTGGTTGGTTCTTCAAGCATAGCATTTTGTTAAAATCTCTTTATCGGCTTTTCCTGAATTTTGGGGTGTGTGTTTTAATCACTTAGATAAGAATTTATCTCTTGCACCCCAAGGGTAGGAACTTGACTTGTTCAATAATTCTCACCTGGTGTGGAGGTGCAGATCTGTCATCTCAGCACTCTGGGAGGCTGAGACAGGAGGGTTGCAAGTTTGAGGACTCATAGGGTGCGTAGCAAGCTTAAGGCACACACAATCAGGTCCAGGCTGGATGGGGATGTGGAACTCACTGTTAGGGAAGACCAGCTATGTCTGCATGTTAATTGTTCTCGAGTTGTTTCTAGGGAGTTTGAAATGAGATAAATAGAAATGAAATCTGAGGCTGGGTGTGGTGATGCATGCCTGTAATTCCAACACTCGGGAAGCCGAGGCAGGAAGATTGCGGAGAGCTCAAGGCCAGCCTGCACTACAGAAAGAGACCCTGTCTTAAAAAAAAAAAAAAGTGCAATCCAGGCATGGATGTACCTGGATCTCATGCTTTTAGAGCTCCATCAATTTAATGTCTTTCCTTATGGGACATTAAAAATATTAATCATGGCAAAATACTGACATTTTGAGTACCATCAATAAATGGGGGGAGTACCATCAAACAATGGAAATTATACAAATCATGGTGAACCTATGTGATAGGACTATTTCCAAAAGATGAAAAATATTTCCAAAAGAAGAGAAGTATAAAACAAAAAGCAGCCTTTATTCTGAGAACACGGAGAGAGATGACCGACACCCCCCCCACTGCTGGCATCCGGAGATCTCTCCCGCGGACACATGGCATGGGGGTATGTAAGTAGCCTTGGTTTGGGGTGGAACCTAAGGCGGGTATTAGGGATGTACAGGTAGCCCATTGGTCCTAGGTTAAGCGCCATATGTAAATTTCCAGGGGGAAGATGGCGGCACAGGTAAATTCTTAGGGGCAGGGGAGATAGGGGCTTCCTGCTTCTGGTTGAGGCTTTCCTGGCTACAGTGTCCTGTCTGGGCCAAAACCCTTTCACTATGCTTTTTGGGAAAGGCATTAAATTAAAAAAAAAAAAAAGTCTAAGAAGAGAACTCATTAACAGTTCCTTTGCTGCAGCAATGAAGTTTTGCTGCAAAGTGAGCCGTGGCCAGGGCGTCGAAGGCTTGGGTCTGTGTATCCTTAGCACACACAATCAGGTCCAGGCTGGATGGGGATGAACAGCGACCCTTCCTAGTCTGGGAGCTGCAGACCTTTCTCTTGAAGCCCATGGGTTTCCCTTGAAGTTTCTTCTGCATCTTCTGCAGGATTCCCTTCTCATTCTTATGAAGGTTCTTGATATTTTTTGTCCACTGCAACCCTTTCTTCTATTCTTTTGTGGAATTTTACTCTAAAAAATTCTTATTTTTGGTTTTTTTGAGATAGGGTCTTACTAGGTAGTTCAGGCAAGCCTCGAACTCATGAAGATCCTCCTGTCTCAGCCTCCCAATTGGTGGGAATTCTTTGCTACCAGTTTTGATTGAGGTTTGGAGAAGCGGCCATCGTGTGAGGGTTCAGTGTGGCCAGCTGGTGTGAGGCCTGCTGCCCTCATGATCTGTATCCTTTAAGAGCCTGGGGTCACCCTCACCGGGTTCAGATTCATTGTGTCGCTGACCCCACCAGCCTCTCTACCATTCTCTGTCTTCTAGGACCTGATGCTCCTCACTCACATGCTAACCACATTCCCCTTTTCTTCAAGCATAGCATTTTGTTAAAATCTCTTTATCGGCTTTTCCTGAATTTTGGGGTGTGTGTTTTAATCACTTAGATAAGAATTTATCTCTTGCACCCCAAGGGTAGGAACTTGACTTGTTCAATAATTCTCACCTGGTGTGGAGGTACAGATCTGTCATCCCAGCACTCTGGGAGGCTGAGACAGGAGGGTTGCAAGTTTGAGGACTCACAGGGTGCGTAGCAAGCTTAAGGCTGGCCTGTATCACATGCAGAGATCCTGTTTCAGGAAATAAAAAGCAAAACAAAAAAATAACCCCCCTGAAAGTATGCTTTGTAAGTAGGTATTTTCTAAGGCTTTGTCCCCATGGATTAAAGGGAGCAACTCTCTTCCCTTTGTTATGTTTCTGGGGTATGTTAGTCTCTAGGGGGATGGCTTTGAGGGGTACAAGTCTTGCCAGAAGTCATGGCTTCAGGGTGAGCTGGCCTCTGCCCTGGTCTGGCTCTGGACTCTGGCTGTGACCTGTCATCTGCTCTGCTCCACAGACTGTGAGCAGACGCGAGCACCAGGGGGTGAGGACCGGGCTGGAACAGACAGGAAGCCCCGCCCTGGCCTGGGGGAGACCTCGAGTACTGCTCTCACCATGTGACACTGAGCTTGACTTGGGTGGTTTGCTCCGCAGCAGTATCTCGCGATGTCAGAGGGGCCGTGACTCACAGTCCTGTCTGCAAGCCGTGCTCTCTCCAGCGAGTCTGAATCGGGCTGCGCCGCCCCCCCCCCCCCCGCACGCGCCGTACGTGTGGCCAGTGTGGTCCTTGAAAGAAGGCCCAGGAGGCCCTGCTGGATTTGACCAGAAAACCTATTTTTAAACCGCTGGGAAGGAAACGGAACAATAGCTCCCAGCAGCATGGGTTAGGACCTTGAGTAGCTTTATCCCTCTCTGAATCCAAGGTTTCACAGGCATAATACACTCAGTGCAGATCCCTGTAACTTTCTCTATCTTTGACAGCTATGACTTCAATTTGTAGTGTAATTATGTGCAATTCATGCAGCTAGTAATTACATGGTCCTGCTAATCCTTACTTTTAAGAAAACACTTCTTTTGATAATGATTTTCAAAGCTGGAGATACGACAAAATATTTATAGTCAGGAACATTCTCATCAGATGGTATTAATTTCTCTTCATACTCACTGCAATTTACTTTGAAATTTGTCACAGCCTGGCTTTTAAATATTTTGTGTACATGAGCTTGTCATCAAAATCCATTATTTCCATAATAAAGATTAAAGTATAACCTAGTGGCCAAAATCCAATTGAGAGTTTGTCAATTTATTACATTTATTTTATTTAATTCTATTTCTTTTTTGGTTCATTTGAGACAGGATCTACCTATGTAGTTCAGGCTAGTTTTGAACCTGCTTTGCAGCCCAGGCTGGCCTTGAACTTGCAGCAATCTTCCTGCCTTAGTGGTGGGATTACAGGAGTGTGCCACCACACCTGACGCAATTCATTAAATTCAAAGGGCACAGACTTTTCTTTAGTTAAAAGACTCTATTCGCCTTGTCGTGGGTGGTGTGTACTTGTTTAATCTTATTTTTATTAGTCTGTGTTTGCACATGCATCGTGGGGCCGTGGTACATGCACATTAGACATCTTAATTCCTTTATTTCCTCTTACCGCTCCCTCCTTCCATCTCTTGGTTCTTTTTCAGTTGTACTTGTTTTTTCCACTGGAGAAAAACATTAAAACCCAGGAGAGCTAAGAGGAGGCCTGAGTAACGGCTTACCGCGCATGCTCCGCTGAGTTAACCTGCCAAGCCAGGGGGTGGATGGGTGGGCAGGCAGCCCCAAGGCTTTCACCCCTAACTCGAGTCCCCGGCCTGGAGGGCGCCCACACCAGGTCATCACCGCGGACAGGGGCAGCTTATACCACTCGGAGGAAAAGGGGAACAGGCCACGTCAGGGGCTCTCACAAGGAGAAGAGTGAAGCCCCGGTGCCGCGGGCTGGCCTGGGTGGCCTTCGTGGCTGCCAGGAACCGCCCGGCCCCTCGGTTCCTGTGCTCTTCACCGCCCCCCCCCCCCATTCCTGCAGCCCCAGGCCTCCCAATCAGGAACAGAACCCAGGCGCCCGCGGCGACCTTCCCACCCAGGCGCTGGAAGGGCCGCTAATCCGTTCACAAAGCGGCAATTGCCGTCCCATTGTGCGCGCCCGGGCACGAGGGGCCAGCGGCGGGCGGGCTCTGGAACATGCCAGGCGTGGAGGGCTGCGGGGTTTATATAGGAGCCCAAGGCCGCGCCGAGGCTCGCACAGAGCCATGTACCGCCGCAGCTACGTTTTCCAGGCCCGCCGAGAGCGCTACGAGCGCGCCGCGGAGCCCGAACGCGCGGTCCGGGATGCGATCGCCGCGCCCCCGAACCCCGCGCCGCTGCAGGGCCTGGGCGAGCGCGTGGCCGCCCAGGTGCAGCGCGCCCGGGCGCTTGAGCAGCGCCATGCGGGGCTGCGCGGGCAGCTCGATGCCTTCCGGCGCCTGGGCGAGCTGGCCGGGCCGGAAGATGCCCTGGCGCGCCACGCCGAGGCCAACCGGAGGCGTGCGGGGGACCTGGCGGCTGAGCGCACACGGCTGCAGCACCAGGGCGTGGAAGCGCAGCGCGCGCTCGACGAGTTCCGGACCAAGTAAGTCCGGCGCGGAGGAAACCGAGGCTCCAGGGGAGGGACAGCCGAAGTGATCCCAGCACGCTGAGAGGCTGAGGCATGAGTTCAAGCCCAGCCCTGTTTCCAATAAAGTGAGGAGGGTGGGGAATGTAGGGCCTTGGGAAGGAAAGCCCAGGATTCAGGCTCCAGTGCTGGGATGAGGTTGGAAATAAGCCACGCTTTCGTTTTGATGCCTCCCACAGTGTCCCTGAAACAGAAGCACTGGCTCTCCATGCATGCTAAATTCAGGTGTAATTCAAGGTGCACAGACCGTAAGCTCGCAGCTCGGCGAGTCTGGGCAAACGCATCTGTCCCGTGCTGGCGCCCACACAGCGGGGGCATTTCCACTACTCAGGTTCCCTACTCCACACGCCCGAGGCGCTGTTTTTTCATTTCTGTCACTGCAGGTTAATTTTGCCTGTTCTAGAATTTGTAGCGACAGCTACTCTTTTATGCCAGGCCTCTTTCCGCACAGTGATTTTGCGATGTATTTAACTCTCACAGCCTTATCCTTACCACGTCTATGCAGCAGATCAGAGGTCTTCATGGGGAGTAGGGGGCAGGAAGGTACGGGGGTTGAACTCACCACTTTGGTCTTGCATGCTCAGCTCCTTTAATTTTTTTTTTTTTTAAATCGTGAGCAGGGTCTTGTTAAGTCACTGAGGTGCCCAGGCTGGGCTTGAACTTGTGATTCTCTTGTCTCAGCCTCGCAAAGTGCTGGGATGACAGGCATGTGCCCCAATGCCTGCTTGAGACTGAACCTTAGACGCTCAGGGACTTGGGGCCGGGACCCCCAGCTGGGGAGCTATTGCATAGGAACTGGGACTCCGAGTTTGGCCAGCCAAGTGGCAGCAGAGGCCATATGGGAGAGGCTGGTGCTACTCAAAGTGTGGCCCTAGTGGGGTGGCAGCCACCAGGGAGCTTGGTGCCGGGCAGCACCCATGTCCCAGGCTGCAGGGTAGAGGAGCAGCAGGGGTAATGAGGAAGAGGCAAAGAGCACTACAGTGTTGCCAACCAGTACTTGTAAGCTGCCGCCCATAATTCTGCCTCCCTTCAGTTGGCCAGGACTTAGTCACATGTCCATATCTGGCTGCAAGGTTGCTGGGAAATGTAGTTTTTCTTTTAAACAGTGGCGTTCCTGCCAGACCTAGAGAGCTGTAACTATATCAGGACAGACTAGAGGGAACAGAAGACGGGTCTTTTGGGAATGGTTCTTCTCTTTTTAGGGGTAAAATTACCCCCGAGAGAAGCCTTCTCTGACCAGAATGATTTCTGGCTTTCTGGCCTGGTGGTGCCGGCCAGCAGGGAACTCCTCACTGCACCCAGGAGTGCAGGGCACCCTTAGGCCTTAGGTTTGGTTGTCTAGTCCTCTCTTTCTCAGAGACCTCTAGAAGCCAAGTGCGACACAAGGATTCTGTTGTTTTAGGGGTGACCCCAGGGAGGAGTGGTGAGAACGGTGGGGGAGGCAGCCAGTGGCAGGCGCCTTATCAAGCAATGTCCAGGTGCCTGTCGCTCTGCCCACGGTTGTAGAAAGTGCCTCTCTTGTCTCTACTAACTCTGAGGGAGCTGGGGTATTTTTGCGCTAACCAACTCCATCCGAGTTGAGGTCATGGAGAGTGCACGGCCTGGAGGAGGCCTTTGCTGGGAGGGTCCAGGGCCAAATGCTGGTGGTGTCAGTGTCATCATCATGGGCATAGCAGTAACCGCTGTGTTTCAGCTGCTATGAGGAGTAAGTGACAGAATCCGCACCTGCCTCTGCATTCGGAATGGACAGTGACAGGCCAGGGCAGTGGTGATGCTGCAGCCACTGCTCGGTGGCCTTGCAGGTGGTGCTAGGCTGTGTTTGGGTTGCGCTTCTGCCAAGCTGGAATCCTTCCACCTTGGGCTGGCTGGGTGGGAGGTGGTTGGCGGACCATGATGGCAACTCCTGTCCCGTTTGCCTTATCCCATGGTTCTTTGCAATGTGCAGATGTCACCCCTTTCCCATGCGCCATGGCATGTGAAGGTCTGGAAGCAGTGGTCAAGGAAGTCCAGAAATGAAAGCCAGCTTCTTACAGGAGAATTGTCTCAGATGGACCTTTGCACTGACCACATGGAATCACCAACTCTTGCTTTTATGTCTACGTGCAGGTATGAAAATGAGTGTGAGTGTCAGCTGGTGCTGAAGGAAATGCTGCAGCGGCTCAACAAGGTGAGTTGTGCCTACCTTTGGGCTCTGGTAGCTTGGTATCGCTGTGAACTAAATGCCAGAAACAGTTGTTTCGCGCACTTCCTGTTTGTGTTTTGCAGGAGCCACCTGTTTCTTTTGCTGTCCTCTTCTTGAGTTTCCTAGTGTCAGCAGCCTTAGTGCATGACAGTCATGCTCATTTCTGCACCGTTCCACCCTAGGATGCTCAGGTTTCCTGAGAGAAATATCAACCATGGAGCTTCTATGTTATGCTAGGTGGACTGGTCTGTTTTCTATTACTGTACTGGAATATCTGAGGCTGGCTAATTTTGTAAAGAAAGAGGCTTTCATACCTTCACATTTAGAGGCTGGAAGTCCAAATAGCATGGTGCTGCATCTTGTGAGGACCTGTAGCTCTGTACTTCTTGGTGGGCAACATCTTTGAGGGAGGCCATGAAGAGGCGAGATCATTTGGCAAGATGGGAATCCAGGGCCCAGGGAGCCAGAAGTGACCTCCCACCAGTCCCCATGTCTGGAAGGTTCCTCCACCTCTTGCTGTCGCCACCCTCAGGACCCAGATCCCAGATCACGAACCCTTGGGAATCCCATTGTCACAGTGCCATTGTCACAGTGGCCAGCTGCCGTCTTCCTACTGAAACATTGATCCACACAGCAAATCAAGGAAGGGACACACTTTGGGGCAGTGGTTATTTGGTTAGTGGTCCTGCTGCTGGCTAGGGATCTTGAGATTGCCATTCCAAGGGGAAAGACTCAAGATAACAGAGGAAGAACTTTCCCTTTCCCATGAAGCCCCCTCGTGTCGGAGTGTGGAAAGGAATGGTCCGTGAGTGAGGGATTGGCTGGGAAGCTCAGCTTCTTCTTGAAGCCATTCCTGCAGTGTTGTGGGGGGCATTGCTGTGCGGGGCTGATTTCCCTCTTCCTGTCTCCCATCATTAGCTTGACTCTGGATTTTTTGAGATTCCTAGGAGAGCTCTGCTATTGATAGCAGAATAATCCTGGACAAAAGGGTTGCACAAAAGCAGCTATAGCAAAGAGCTTTAGGTGTCCTTTGTGGTCTCATCAGAGTGGAGGAGCCAGGGGGCTGGGGTGGAGTGCTGCTCACTTAGAGCTCACAGGCCGCTGCTGCCTACCTGCTTCGGGCCGTGACCTTGGTATGGTGCTGATGAAACTCTGGTCTCTTCTCCCTGTGCACACTCGGGCCTTTGAGTTCTTCTCCACAAGGGATATCACCACAGATGGTCCCACTCAGCTCAGGGTGTTCGCTGTGTCCTTTTTTTTTTTTTGTCACTCTTTTTTTTCCCAGGTCTTGGTGTGACCCAGGCTGGCCTTGACCCACTATCCTCCTGCCTCAGTCTCCCAAGTGTGAAATCACAGGCACGCTCCACCAGGCTGAGTTTTGGAGACCTTTTTACCCTTGGTGCAAAGTGACAGTGGTTTTAAAACCTCTTCATTTTTTCGTATTACAAGAGCAGTATGTACTCTCAGTAGAAAAAACAACACAGACAGGGTGGCCTAAGGAAAAGGCCTCCCTCCATTCAGCGGCTCCAGTGCCTGGTGGAGGAGCATGCTGAGACTGTGTGCGGGTTTGAAGTGTCTGCCTCACAAGGCGTCAGGAGGGTTTCATGAAAGATAAAACCCCTAGAGCGCCAGTGAGGACTGGCACAGGGATCTGTGTGACAGTTCCCCCTGCTCACAGGGGGCTGTGCTGTCTGGAAGCGGGGTGTGGCCTGCTGACACCACCTTGCACAGCTCTGTCCTCTCGTCTCTTTGAGCCTCTGAACCTGAATGGTGCCCACCACCACCGGCGTGGAAGGATATCTATGAGCCCAGTTCTCATGAAGTGACACTGCTCTGGATGAGCAGGTGACTGGCCTGTCCCACAGTCCTCAGGGGGGCAGCCTGAGGTCCTCCTAGTTGGGATGCAGCTCTCGATGTGACAGGTACTCTTAGTTTCTCCAGAGGGTGCTATGTCCGACCCTGGTGGTGAGTTTAGAGGGTGCACAAGAGAACAGGGTTTTTGATAGTTGCAGATATTTATGATTACCTTTTATTTACGGTGACTTTCATAAAAATATTCCTTTTCAAATCAATCTAAGTGAAAGGGATTCAAGCTACAGAAAAATGCAGAGTGGCTAACAGAATAGCTGGCACTTAGATGTAGCAGAAATTGTGGTTGAATACACAGATGCCAGCCTTGGGAGGTCCCTGTTCTCTTGGGGGAGCCCTGGAAGGGTGCCTGGCTGTTGGCAGGGCAGGAACACCCTCCCTCCCCCGCCAGACACCACGCAGTGGAACGTCTTCCATTCACTAGTGGAGTGACAGCCTTGGGGTCAAAGGCCACACCATGAGGCGAGTGTAGACAGGAGTCTTTTTTATTTGGATTCCTCTCCCTCCCAGGGAGTCCAGGGGCAACTGCAGCCCTCAAGCTGGATGCAGGCTGGGTGCTGTAGGTTACAGGTGCCCCTCACTCTTGATGCAGAGGCCCGCCAAGTCGCCAACTCTGAAGCCCCACGGCCATGAGGCAGTCTGCTCAGGCTCGTACCCTCACGGGCTCCATTCCTATCCCTGCCTCTCTCTACATTCCCAGCCTCTCGGTGGAGCAAGACTTTCCAGATGATGCCAGTGATCTGGCCTGGCCCACCTCTAGAGCTCTTTGTCACTGAGCGCAGACATAGGAACTTATTGGTTGCCAGTGAGGCCCAAGTTTGCTAAGCTGTGCAGCTTAGGCTGGCCTTGAAGTCACTGTGGAGCCCAAACCAGCCTTAAACTCATGGCAACTCTCCTTCCTCAGCCTCTCCAGTGTTGGGATTTCAAGTGTGCACCATCAGGCCTGGCTTCTAAATTTGCTTATTTTAAGGAAATTGCTAGAAGCAGACTTCACAGTTCTCCCCACTTTATATTTTGGAAAATTGCTTCCACTTAAAAATGACTTACCCACATTGGAAGGTGGGCACAAGCGCTTCTCCCACCATCCGGGCATCTGTGGGAAGGAGCAAGGGTAGGGAGGGCAGAGTGTGGCCTGTGGGATGCGAGGCACCACATGTGGGGGCTTCCTGTTGTGGAGGTCCTGAGGCTGGAAATGAATTCCAGAGACCAGGCAAAGAATCCAGGAAGAGGAGGGGGGCTGGAAAGGAAAGAAGGGCTGAGGGGAGGATTTTGATACCCAGAGTTGCAGGTAAAGTGTTTTAGAGTTAAACCTTAGCTAATCAGTCACTTTGGTGCACTCCAGTGCTTATTTTGCAGCAGCGGGATTTTTAATGGCATTTCTAGGTCCCTGTGAGCAAGTGCAAGGCTCAATCTCAAGGGCGCCTTGCATTCTCCTCCTTTCTCTGGTCCTTTTCTCACAAGTGAGTGTCCCTGTGTAAGAGCAATAGCTCTGAGATGCCACTGTGCCTCTGCATCACCCGGGGAGGGTGCCAAGCCCAGACTGCAGGTCCCAGAGTTCTGAGCCAGCAGTTCTGGGGTCCATGTGCGTGTTCCCGGTACTCGCCAGCTTGCAGGTGGTGTGATGCAGAGACCACACTCAGCAGCCCTGTTCGAGATCCAGGGCAGCCACAATGCCAGGGCCGGATTGTTTTCTAAAATTAACACAGAGTCTCAATTCAGAAAAATCTCGAAGCTCCAGCTGGTGATGCTTTGGAAAATTCAGCTGACGATGTTCCTGACACAATAGAAACACTGGCGTCTACACATTTCTGAATTTGGGGACAAACAAAAGAAAATACTTCCAGAACATTCTCCCCAGCAGGTCAGCAGCTGCTGCCCCCCGTGGCCCAGCTCACCTTGCTTTGGGGGATGTTATCAGGAGACCTTTGTCAGAATAGGAGCCCGAGAGTGTGTGGCAGAAGCATCGAGACTGTAGGGGACTCCAGTTGGGCCAGTGGTGAGGACCAGCGTGGACTGGCCCGGTCAGCAGCACAAGCAGCTTCTCATTCTACTTGTGCGGTCCGGGGGGAGGTCTGGGGGGACCCGGGGAGGAGCTGGGGAAGGGAGGACATGGGCGCTCACTTGGACAGTGCTCCTGTGTGAGATGCCTGGAATTCTCTCTTCAGCCCCCGTCCTCTGTGCACAACAAAAACTAAAGCAAAACCCAAGTGTCCATGTTTTCTTTCTCTTTCTTTCTTTTTTCTCTCTCTCTTTCTTTTTGGTTTTATTTTGAGACAGGGTCTTGCTGTGTAGTTCAGGGCTGGCCTTGTACTCACTTCAAAGCCCAAACTGTCCTCGAACTTGCAGTGATCCTCCTGCCTCAGCCTCCTGAGTGCTGGGATTACAGGTGTACACCACCACACTCGGCCCCTGTTTTGATTCTATCCATTGGCTTCCTGGGATCCTTGGAAGGATGGCACCTGTGATTTAAAAGCAAAGTTTGAGGACCCATGACCTCAAGGGTCCCTTCTATTTCTAAAATTCTGAATGTTTGATTTCTGAGTAATAACAAAAAAGAGCCCCTGAAATCCCATTTCCAGTTCTTTAGCCCCAGTCATTGCAGATGAGTTCAAGTGAGTCTTGAGATGCTTGAGAATTCTCCGCCCTCCCCACCACCCTCAGGCTTACACGAGGCAGAAGGTGAGAGGAAAACACCAGGGGAGGTGGGCTGCAGACCCTCGCCCAGTGACCCTCCATCTCCCTGAGGCCCAGTTGCGCCTCTCTGAGGGGCACCCCCTGCTCCAACATGGAGTCCCTGCTCAGTGGGCCCTGCTTCCACAGAGTGGGCGTCCACCCCGGACAGCACAGGTTCCCAGAGCTCAACAGCTGGCTCCTTCAGCTCTGCGAAGTTGTCACAGGAGCGATGCTGGCTTACATGGAGAGCCTACTTGAGAGCCTCCGCAGTGGTCAGCATTGCCATGTCCTCATGGTCAGCATCGGTGACTGGAGGTCTTCTTGAGCCAGGGCCTCTACAGTGGCGATGTGGGAATCAAGTGCCTTTCACGAGAGCACATTGGAGGCCTGGCCATAACGTGGTCAGACCTCGTGTCCCTCCCAGGGTGGACAGTGCCCTTAAGTGTTTAGCTGGGCCCCACACCCACACTCACTATTGAGGCCACTGCTAATACTCATCCTGCTGTTAACACAACCTTGATACGTCAGCGAATCTTCAGGTTGGCAGATATACATGGCGCAGGTGTTGGGGTGAGGGGTCCTCTAGATCCAAGCTGCAGATGCTCCAGCATTCAGCCAGTTCTGGGTGTCACAGTGTGATCTGAAATGTGTGAACACTTTTTCTTGTTTGTTTGTTTGAGACAAAATCTTGCTATGCAGTTCAGGCTAGTTTTTCACTCAATATGTAATCCAGGCTGGCCTTGTACCCTTGGAGATCCTCCTGCCTCAGCGTCTTGAGTGCTGCGGTTATAGGTGTGGGCTGCCACATCTGGCTTGGACATATTTATATCTATGTGATCTATCCAAACAAGGCCAAAGAGATAAACGTCTGAATCATCAGAAAGTTTGGTGAGAAAATTCACCCTTCTGTGGTGAGTGTCATTTCCAACGTCAAAGGAATGGAGGCTCTGAAAAATGCATTTTGTCTTAAACTTCTGTTTTTAGCTGAATGTTGTCAGTTTTTGGGAGAAAACTGTTAAAATACAGGACTTTATGGCGGGCAAGCTTGATGTCATGAATTTGATTCCCAATACCAAAAAAAAAAAAAAAAAAAAAAAAAAAAAAAAGAAAACCCAAAAGAAAAATAACCCCACAGGGGCTGGGGATTTAGCTCAGTGGCATGAGCACCTGCCTTGCAAACAGGCGGTCGTGAGTTCGATCCCCGGTACCAATTAAAAAAAAAAAAAAAAAAGAAAACCCCACAAAAAACAAAAAATAAAAACAAAAACACCCCAGGGTTTTAGTGTTAAGGGAAATGGTTTTCTGAGTAGTCTTAGGAACTCAAGTCACTCATGGTGAGATACAGACTAAATCTAGATGCTCCTTAAATGCTATGGTCACTTGGCTTATAGAGTCACCCTAACTCTCAGATATTTCTGGATCAGGTGTTTGTTTGTTTTGTTTTTTGGCAGCAGTCTCTTAACTGTGCAGCTCAAGATAACCTTGAACTCACTATGTAGCCCAGGTTAGCCAGGAACTCACAGCAGTTCTCCCGCCTCAGCCTTTGCAGTGCTGGGGTTATGGCCCCCCCCCCCCCCCCCCCCGTCATTAGATCAAGGTTTCAACATGGGAACTGCAGACATTTTAGACTAGAGCATTCTTTGAGGCCCTCTGGCCTGTGTGTGCGTGTGTGTCCTGTGGACTTCAGGAAGCTTAGCTACCTCCCCGTTCTCTTCTCATTAGCTATGAGGGGAAGAACCCCACCACTCAAGCTGTGACAGTGAGAAATGTCGCAGACATTGCCGCGTGTCACTGTGGGTGCACAGTCACCCTCATTGGACCTCTGTTCTATGCTTGGTCCAGTGACTGAGCCCATTCTTTGAGGCGCAGTCATAGATGCCCTTGCAGACCTGAGACTGAGCAGGAGTCTGCATTGCTGGTGGTCTGCATGCCCAGGTGCCCGGCTGACTTTGCTGTCCTCCCCGCGGTGCCTGTGGCCCAGGAGCATGACTGTTTCTCCTTGCAGGAAGCTGACGAAGCCTTGTTGCATAACCTGCGCCTTCAGCTCGAGGCCCAGTTTCTACAGGACGATATCAGTGCGGCTAAGGACAGGAACAAAAAGGTAACTGTGCCACCCAGCCGCCCTTCCCTACCTTCAATGTGTTTTCCTCTGAGCCAAATGGGTGGTGGAGGCTGGTCACTGGCAACACTGCTGAGCTAGGCACAACGCAGGGCCGTAGGCAGGCGAGGTGCATTGGGGTGGTGATATTGGGAACTCATGTCTGTGGGTCCACTTCCTCCTGTCACTACTGTGGAAACTTCTCCTGGGGACAGAGGGTCCCCAATGCCTTCCCATGGGACAGAGCAGCTCCAGGTGCTGGGAGGAGCCCTCAGAGGTGCAGAAAGTGGGTACAGGAGGGATGAACCCTGAATCTGTGCCCTGTGGATCCCACTGCTGTCCCGGAAGGGGAGGCTGGTGTTGCACTGGAGGATGAGGAAGCCGCCTGGAGAGGTTGGACCATACACCCATGGCTCTAGGGCCCCAGGATTTGTTTTTGCCAGCATCCGGAGGTCCCCAGAGTCTGGCCTGGACTGCTGGAGAGCAGGAGGGGACCTGGACATGACCAGAGAAGAAGCTCCAGAGAAAATGTGAAGAGCTGTAACTTTTGCACATTCTGCACTTTCACATTCTGTGGGCTGAAAAAAAGCCGACTCTTCATATTATGACCATACCAGTGATGGTGAACCTTTTAGAACTTTCAGTGATCTGAAGAGCCCACTGTGGCATGCGTACCATAGGTTCATCACCACTGGCCTACACTGTAGACTGTCCATACCACAGACTGACTGTAGACTCTATAGCTTAATTAAGACAGACTGAAATCATTTTGTAAAAGACAGTGATGATATATGAGGTGTAATGGAAATATATGATGAATATTTAAATTAAAAATATTTATTACAGTAAAAGGCACATTGCCATGAATCTGTTTCTAAATGCTCACCCTCAGTGTGAACACACTTAGCCCATTATTCTGGCCACTTTTTGTTTTTTTGAGACAGTCTCCTGTAGTTCAGGCTGGTCTTGAACTTACTATGGAAGAGGTTGACCTCACACTTGTGGCAGTCCTCCTGCTTCAGCCCCCACATGCAGGGATTATAGCAGTGCCTCATCAAGGCCGGCCCATTCTTGGTACTTTCTGAAGCAGCTCTGAATGTCCTCTTTTGTGAATGTCTTTAGTTGCTCTAGTGTGGCTGCCTTGATGTCCTCAGCTGATTCAGAATTTTTACTGTTCTTTGTCATTTTGACTTTGGGGAGGAGCCAGAAGTTGCCCAGTGCCAGACTCAGTGAATACAGCAGCCCAGTGCCAAGGTGGCTGAAGGGAAATGGCAAAATGAGCTGTGCCTCATTTTACCCACCTGTCCTGCTGTTCCCATGAAGGTTAAGGACCTGTGGAGTGTCCACTCCACGGGGGGCATGTGCCAGGCCGATCAGTGGCAGCCCATTCCCACCTTGCCTAGGGGTTGAGGAAGAAGGTGCCAAAGACCCATCCCTGGACTCACACAAGTGCTCTCCCTGCCCCACAGAATCTTTTGGAAATCCAGACCTACATTGGCATCCTGCAGCAGATCATCCAGGCTGCACCTCGGGTGCCTGCCATTGTGCGTGGGATGCGGGAGGTGAGCATTGGAGTTGCCTGGGGGACCCTTAACTCACACCCCGGGACCTCACTGAGCTCAGGCTGCCCTGGGTCGGATGCCTGCGAGGCTTCAAGTCTGGAGTTTCCTCCTTCCTCTTTGCCTGCACTGTGATGCTGCTGGAGATCTGAGGTCCAGGCCCACATCTATCGGCAGAGCCCCAGGGTGGCCCCAGGCATGGCTGCCTCTACTGCTGTCCCTGGCTGACTGGGACTTCCTGTCCCTCTGAGGCCTCGTCTGCCTTGCTGTGTCAGCCTTCACCCTGCCATGTTGTGCTGCTGCAAGCCTGACCGTGGTTTGAATTTGTGTCCCTAGTGATGAACACATTGGGTGTCCTTTCCTCTTCTCACAGTGCTGCAGTCCCCTTTCGGGTCCTCCTTCATGACCTCAGCTGATAGGTCATTACCCCCAGAGGTCCTCCCTTCTGATACCAACCCCTGCTCCTGGGGCTGCCCACACCCAACCTGGGGGACCTAGACACGCATCTGTCACCAGCCCCTCTGGTCCTGGCATTTCCTCCTTGTGACCTGAGCATGGCCTTCTTTGGCAGGAGAAGATCTTGACGGAACGGGAGGTGGCTTCGCTGCAGAGTCAGCTGGACGAGGGGCGGGAGGCACTGTCCCACCTGCAGGTGCAGCGGTCGGAGTTGCAGGCCCAGGTACACACCCGCACAGGGCTTGTAGGCTCACATACTTCATTGAAGGTCATGGGTGCGTGCTGGTGCCTGGCTCTGACCTGTCACCCATCCAGCACACTTGTGTCCAGCAGAAGCAGTATGTGGAGTAGATGACGGGTGCCCAGCTTCCCTGACCAAGGTTCCTGGATGCGCACAGGATATTCTGGGTCCAACCTGCGTGCATCTCAGGCAAGAGGAGGCAGGTTGGTGGCCACAGTGGTTCCAGCAGCTAACGGCTGTCCCCTCCCTGCCAAAGGTGAGGCTGTCTTGGTGTCAGTGACCCCATAGGTCCACTGGCTCCCTGTCGGTTTTGGTGGAAGGAGGAGGATTTCTTCACAGCTCCCAGAGTGCAGGGTGGATGTGTTAGGGGCAGGCTGCTGCGTGGCTCCCGGCCACCTTCCACCCTCTCTGCCCTGTGTAGGACACTGGGACCCCAGCTGCCCTTTCCAGTAGCAGCAGGAGAGAGTAGCCCTTGAGCCCCAGGCATGGAAGTTTGCAGGCATCCCTGCTGCTGAGGCAGACAGCCTGATTCCCAAGGCCCATGTTGAGGTGCTGCCCGCAGGACTTCATGGTGGATCTGTTGTGCCACGTTAAGCATGTCAGGAATAGAGGGGCTGGCTGGGTGTGCACCCCACTTGGTCTGATCTTGCTTCCTGTGTCTCTCCTTGGAGTTGGTTTCTCTTCTGGATGTGACCTGAGCCCAGCAGGGTAGGCAGGCAGTTTGCCTTCCGGGAGGCACCTTGAGGTCGGGCTCCAGGCCTGAGTTGCCCGCTAGGCAAAGGCTTCTTGGAGACTCAGTGGATTTGAGCACAGTGTGAGGCATGTGTGTACCCTGTGTGTGTAGAGGGAGGTATGTGTGTAGTATGCCTGCTCCATGCATGGCCGAGGCAGGGGGTGTGGACTGGGTCCCCATTGAGGCTCTGAAGAGGTCACTGCCCTGCAGGAAGAGAGTGAGCCAAGTGTGTGGTACAGTGCAGGCCTGGCTGGGAAGGCTTTGTTTCCGCTGTCACACGCGGGTGTACTTTGTTCAGCACCCTCGTACTTCTGAGGCATGTGGCTTGCAGTGTGAGTGAAGTGTGTCACTGATGCGGAGAGGTCTGGCAAGGATGAACAGGCCTGTGCTCCTCTAAGAAGTGTCGCGGAGGACCAGCTGCTGTGGCCTCAAGTCCCCTCTGGAACCAGTGGGTGTGCAGTTGCCCAGGCTGCATGCATTACAGGGCTGAACCCCTGAGCAACCACTCCCATCCTATATCTGCTTAGCCTGAGAGAGGGCGTTCTTGAACACCACCGATGCGGGATGGGGCCTCGGAGAGGGGACATTGGGCACTGTCCGTGTATCTGCAGCTGAGACTCAGTTCTAGGACCTCTGGGTCCCAAAAGGCCACAGCATTGGATTTGTGCATAACCTAGGCCCAGCCATTTATGGCCTTGAAATCATCTCTGGGTTATTTAGAATACTCAAGACAGGGCAAATTGTTGCCATGTAAACAGTTTTACTGCATTGTTTAGGGACTAAATAGTGACAAGAAAAAACAGTAGGGTACAGTGGCACATGCCTGTAGTCCCAGCACTTGGGAGGCTGAGGCAGGAGGATCTCCTAAAATCAGGGGCCAGCCTGGGCTGCATAATGAGTTAAGGCCAGCCTGAGTTACATATATAGTGAGAGGCTCTGTCTCGAAAAACCAAATGACTACATAGTCAACACAAATGCAATTAAAGGAAAACATTTTGTTTTTGGTTCTGGTTGGCTGAACCCCTGAGGAGAACCATGAGGGCACGGAGGGGTGATATGTTCACTGTCAGGGTCCACCACAGGGCCCGTGAGACTCAGGTTTGCTGCCTCAGTGACCACTGTGAGTGTCCTGCAACTCAGTCTGTGGGGCCGACCCCAGCTCTGTGGGTGTGGCAGGGCTTCAGGGAGGCGTGGCTGCCCTGCATAGCCGTCTGTAGCCTTGGTCAGGTGGTGGGTGGCACCTAGTTCTGTGGCCGTGGGCTGGAGGGTGGCAGTGGCCCAGACCCTCCACTGCTTCCCTGTATGGCCCTCCTGCCCTTCTCGGGTTTCTTTGCTTCTGCGCATGGAGTGAGAGTTTAGCCAGTGGGTCAGGCGCCAGTGGGTCAGGCACCATGTTGTCACATCTGAGTCCCAGTGCTGTGTGAAATACCATGGTCCTAGACGAGGTTCCCCTGATCAGCTCTCAGGAGCTCAGCCAAGCCTGGGTCCATGCAGGGGTTTGGGACTTGGTACTAGGGGCTGGGGGTGTGCCTTTCCATTTCCCAGGCAGTGCTTCAGGGTGGACGTTTGTACCTGATGCGTCCCGGGCACTGGTGTCCACCGCTGGGCTCTGCTCCTAGAGATGCTGGGCTGCTGGGTCTCTGCGGGCTCCTGGGTCTGGGGGTGGGGGTGCTCCGGGAACTCAGAGTGCTCCCAGGTCTCAGCGGGCTCAGTTGCAGGCATCTAGCAGAGGCCTGGCCATAGACACCTAGTCCTGTGAGAGTGTCCGCGACAAGGGCCCCCCGTGACATCCTTTGCCCAGCAGCACCCCTGGGCACCATCAGAAGTGCCACTTCCTGGCATCCCCGGGGTGCAGCTGCCCTGTCCTAACCTCTGTTGCCTGGCACGGATGCGGAAGCCATAGACGGGCATCAGGGTGGGCAGAGGAGGAAAGTCAGGACACCTCGGTACCCCCAGGTGAGCAAAGTAGGGCTGTGGATCAATAAGCCAGCCGCACTGCCCAGGCCTCCGTCTGCATGGGGGCCCCTGCGCCATCTGGTGGTGAAGCTCGGCACAGCAGCGCTGGGCCTGAAAGGCACAGACCTTTTCTCTTGCCTGTCCTGGGAAGAACACCCAAAGAACATGTCTGCATGGTGGGCCCCTGAGGCCTCGAGGTCCCTGGACGGTGCTACCTCCCCGCTGGGCTGTGGCTGCATGTAGCCTCCTCCGGAGCCAGCTGGGAAGGTGACTTTTCGTAGAAAAAAGCTTCCCTCCTTTTCATTAATGTGTCTGCGTGCACAGTAACTGTGGTGGCCGAGGCCACCGGGAAGCTGTGTGGAGACTGGGCCTGAGCATGGGGCCTTGGCTGGCCCAGCCCTGCCCTCAGGACCCTGCTGTTCCTGACCTCTCCAATCTCCTCCATCTTTGCAAGCTCTCCTTGCTCTTCCTGGGCATCGTGTGGAGTTGAGGCTGGAGTGCTCCTTAGGCCCTGGGTCCTCCTCCTGTCATGAGAGATATAGAAGGTTTGTCCCCGAAGGCAAGGAAGACTACTCCTGAGCTTCCCGGTCTCTGATTTCGCACTCTTCATTTCCCTCACAGCAAAAAGTTTGCTGGTGAACAGGCAGGGTCTGCAAGTGGCTCTTGCTGTCTGAGTCTTCCTGCAGGCAGCCACATGTCTGCCTGTTGACCCGTGGCTGTGACCAGCTCTCTAGGGCCTGATGTGCCTGTGCACCCATCTCTGTGTGTATGCATTTGTGTGTGTGCATGGGGAGATGTGCAGACGCTGCTGGGCTGGGCTGAGGAGGACCACACTTGCAGGGAGCGGGTGTCTCACTCGCTGGGTACTTCTAGGCAAGTCCCTCCACCCATATGCCTCAGTTTTCTCATCTCTTACGTAGGCATGTGAGCTCGGGGAGATGAGCCATCAGCTTTGACGGGGCCAGCACAAACCCCGGCTCTGCTGTGGGTTGTGGATCCACAACCCAAGGGTGCAGAGATTCTGTGCAAGATGTTTTTGTTTTGCACTTTCATCCAGAATAGCTCAAATACGTGGGAAAGTTGAGACTCATCTCTTGAGCCTGTGTCCCTGTCCCAAGACAGAGCTGCTGCCTTGTCATCCCTCCCCCCCTGAGGTGACTCTAAGGTTGGTCTGAGATTCTGGCCTCCAGGGTAGGGGTCTTTTCAGTCCCCTTGCTGCTTCAAAGTGTCTCCTAGGGTGTGGGGACACCAGAGTGGCTAGAAATGTGTCCCTGTTCCAGGAGCAGGTGGCTGTGCTGTGGGATTTGACAATACAGGTGACTGTAGAGGAACAGAAACCTGATCAAACCACCTAAACAGGAAGAGTACTTTTTTATTTTGAAATAATTTTAGACTTCTGAGAAGTTCCAAAAACAGTTCTGAGGTTTCCCACCTTCTATGCACCAACCTCACTCCATGCACGTTAACATTGCAGATCCATAGGACAGCCACAGAGACCGGAATTCGAGGTGACACTGCGCTAGTAATCAGCACCAGCGGCCCCATCACGCTTTCTTCTGGCGGGCCCAGGCATCTTCTTCCTCCATCCTCCAGCCTGAGCCCATTCCAGTGCTTTCTGTCTTTCTAAGCCCGCTGCCCTTGAAGAGTCCAGGCCAGCTGTTTGTGGACTGATGTCCTCCACATGGGGCCCCAGTGCTTCCTCAGGATTAGTGTGAGGCTCTGTGCTTCTGGTGGCTGACCTTGGAGGCGTCCTTAGTGGAATAGGTCTTCAGGTGGTGGATGGCAACTTTGGTTGTGTGTGCCCCAGTGAGCCCGGCACTTGTCTCTGTGCTTGCTCCTTGGCAGGACCCTTTCCCAGTCTTCCCCCCCAGCCCAGGTCCTGGACAGGAGGGTGAGGTCACACTGCTGAGGCCAGCTGTTTGGGGTGGCTGGGTGGGACAGACCTTCCACCTGTCTAGTCCCTGTACTCCCCTGCCTCCTCTAACATATTCCTGAGCACGTTTACAAGTGAAGTTTCCAAACAGTGTCACCTCATGGGTGTCACTATCCCTAGTGCAGACGCATGGGGGGAAGAATCGCGTTGTGATGCAAGAGATCCTGCCCCACACGGAGGCAGCTAGGTGTTGGGCTGCCGCGTGGTCTGGTGGGAGACTCGCATTCTCCAGCCCCACGCAGGCCCCAGTCAGAGTCCAGGTCCTGCCTGGGCCTCCTTCGGATTGCAGCTGCTCCAGGTAGAAGTGTGCTTTTTGCTTGTTTCATTTTGTTTGAGGATGTGCACATCAACTGTTTTCCTACTTGAGGGTAAGGTTGTAAAAGCGTGATGACCACAGAGTAAGCTTGTCAGTGGTGCATGTTGGGGTCCTTAGCATGGACCTAGAAGCTTTTTTTTTTTTTTTTTTTTTGGTCTTTTTGAGACAGGGTTTCACTATGCAGTTCAGGCTGGCCTGGAACTCACAGTGATCCTCTTGCCTCAGCCTCCTGAGATGTGAGCTGCCTGGCCTAGAAGCTCTTAAAGGAGTAGAAACCCGATTTCTTCTATTTTCCTACCTTAGTTTTTGCTGGCTTTTTATTACTACGCAGATGGTGTTTCCTGTGGCATTATTCTTATCACCATTTGACTGGGGCTGAGGTTGGACACAGGGCTTCCTGATTGCTGGGTGTTTAACATTATTTCATTTGTAACAAGTTCTCACACACATATTTTAGCTAGCAAAGCATCAGTGTAATTCTGCTGATCCAAAGTCAGGAGAAAAATTAAAGCATCCTGGTGGCTGAAAGAGAACCCGCAAGTGTTTTCCTCTTAATTATCAGTAAAGTGTGCATCTCAGCCCTTTAGCATGTGTTCTTTTCACATGTTGCTTTGGTGCCTGATGGATGCTGTCCTGGAGTGTGAAAAGCGGGCTTTATTGGACACTAACTCATGAACAGAAGGTTTCTTTTTATTTTTCAGGCTTACCCCAGAGACAGGCCATGTTGGTTCTAGGTGCACAGTTTTCATGGCCCTTTGGTGCAGATTCCAAAGTCTATCGCTGTTTGCTGCTCCTCTGTCCCCAGCAGAGAAACAAATGAGGAAGAGAAGTTCACACTCCACGGTGGGCAGGCTGGGCTGGTCCATGTCGGGAAGGGGCGGGCGGGTTCCTTCCAGTGTCTGTGCCCACAGACTGCGGCCCTGGACCAGGCGATTAAGAATGCCCATGAGTGCTACGATGATGAGATCCAGCTGTACAACGAGCAGATCGAGAGCCTGCGGAGGGAGATCGAGGAGGCTGAGCGGACGCTGGAGAGGAGTTCCTATGACTGCCGGCAGCTGGCTGTGGCCCAGCAGACCCTCAGGAATGAGCTGGACCGCTATCAGCGCATCCTAGAGATTGAAGGCAACAGGTGTGATCCTTGCCTGTGTCCCTATGTCCCTGTCGGCCAGGTCTCTTCCCACAGATCCCTGGTGTGGGCCAAGCATGGTTCTGGGCAGTGAGGAGGTAGCAGGGAAGGGACACAAAATCCCTGACCTCGTGGAGCCCTAGGGGACCTGACAGAGACTGGGTTTGGGCCCAGGGTGGTGGGGTGATGGCAGGTGCTCGAAACCCTACATGCAGAGGTCAAAGGCAGCCTCACAGGGGGCTGCCTTGTGCCCACTGGGCCCTGGGGACATGGTGTGGCCATGTTTGCAGGACTGGTGCTATCCCTGTCTGGCTGGGTGCCCTGGCTGTCACAGCCAGGTCTGTCTCCTCCACCATGGAGCTGTGACTTGGTCCTCACTTATTGAGACTGTGGGAAATTCCTTCCCTGGGGCTGACGTTTAGATCCACATCCATGCATCCTCAGAGAACAGTGAGGTGAGGCTTGTGCTTCTCCAGTTCAGCCCCCACTGAGTTTTGGGGTTTAAGAGCAGCCCCCCCTGCAGAAACCCCAAAGCCTCCCCCCTCCCCCCAGCCCCTGTCCTCCGTGTGGGGTGTGAGGGCTTGAGTGCAGCGGGAGAGCAAGATTTTCTCTCCCTTCTGTAACTATAGCCAGGGTGTCTTCCCTGGTGTATTTATGTCCTGCAAGCGCTTTATGAGCATATACATGAAATCAAGCCTTGAACTGCTTTTAAATGTCCTTGTGGAAATTTTGGTTTGGGGAGCATGGTATCCCTAAAAGTTAACAGGGTTCTCCTGGGTGGGTTTGTTGGTAACTTCTGACTCTGATAGGATTTCAAATGGGAAGAAATATTGCAAGAGGGGGAGGAGGAAGCCCTGAATACTCTACTGAGATTGGGTGCATTTTATTTCAATTGCCTAAACATTTTCCTTTCTCCCTCTCTATGTATATGACTTATATTATTATTATTTTTTTTGTATTACGATCAAACTCACAACCTCATGCTTGCCAGACAGATGCTTATGCTGCTGAGCTAAATTCCTGTCCCATATTTTTAAAAACAAATTGGAGCTACTCTTTAATTAAAAAAAAAAAAAAAAGAAGCCAGCGTCCCGCAGGGCACATTTTAAGTGTCCCTTGCGGCGTCCCCATAGCTGTTCTGTGGTGCAGGCGTCGAGCTCCGAGCAAAGGTTAGTTGCGTCCTGGTCCAGGGCGTAAACATGCATGCGCTCCCAGCTTGCAGCTGGAGGCCTTTTGTGAGCGCTTGGATCCAGGCAGAGCCTCTTCCCCTTCGCTCAAGGTCGGGAGCCATGCTGGGCTCCTGACTTCAAGGTGACGCCATCTTTTGCTTCTTTCCCCAGGCTGAGCTCGGCATTCATGGAGACTCCAACCCTGTTCACGCCAAGCCACAGGCCCCCAATCAGTGTGGGTGCCAGTGGGAAAGGTATCACTAACCCAGCCCCCCCACAATGCTCACTTCTCCTTGGGTAAAAAACGGGAAGAGCCAAGAGTCCGGTTCTGACACACACACACGCCTTCTCACCTGTCTGGACATCAAGAGCTCTATGGGGGCCCTTCCTCCTCTTTCTGATCTCCTCCCTCGGTCACTCCAGGGCAAGTGGAGCAGTTTGGAAGGAGGGGCGTGGCTGGGGAACAGCCCACCCAGGGAATGTCGTAGCCAACTCAGGGCGCTCCATGGGTAGACCCTTCTGTTTTCAACTCCTGCTTCTTCAGTGTGCAGGAGTGGGCTCTGGGTTGTATTCTCCCCCTCATTAAATGAACTCACTTTTGCACAGCTCAAAAATCTGGTGTCTGGGGTAGATTAGGTGCTGGGTTACTGTTCCTTCTCCTTTCCTTTCAAAACTGAGCGGAAGCTGGGTTTGCCTGCATAGTTTAGCTCCTTGGGAAGCTGAGGCGGGAGGGTCAGTTGAGCTCAGGAGTGAGATTGTTTCAAGAAAAAAAAAAATCAGCAAACAAAAAGTGAGTGGAGACAACCTGTTTGCAAAATGTGACTCTGCCTCTGGTGCTGGGTCTCTGGAATGCTTCACCCCACCATGAGACGTCTCTTGGATCTGGACAGGCACCGAGTTTTAAGAGAAAAGAGAAGGCGGTAACATAGATGCTCACAGGGCTTTTATTTATTTAATTTTACATTTTTAATTTTACTTTATTATAAGTTGGTAATTTAAGGTTGCATAGATCTCCAGGGCACAAAGTGATGTCACAATCTACGAGCAAGGTGGAATCATTAAGTTGAGTGGTTATCTTGTTCATCTTGCATGACACCCCTTGTGGGGAGAACATTAGCGATTCCGAGGGACCCTGTGGCCTTTATCTGTCCATGCCTGGCTCATGCACTTTGCTGACGTTCTTCGATCCCATCCATGTGTGTCACGGAGTAGCATTTCCTCCTCCCGGAGGCTGCCTGCTTCCGCCGTGCATGTGTACACTGCCTCTTAACCTGCTCAGGAGCTGCTGGGCTCTGGGATGGCTCTGTCCTGGCTGTTGTGAACACTGTGTTTACACTGATTTCTAATCTTTGGGGTCAGTGTGGCCCTATATGGTCTGCACTGGGGAGGGACCAAGCAAGGCTTGGTGCTGTGCCATCTCTGTCCTGAAATGAATCTGGAGCAGGGGGCCCCGCATTTTCCTTTTGCAGCAGTCCTGGGTTCCACTGCTGGCCTTGTGGACACTCCCCTCTGGGGCCAGCTGTCCTCAGACCTGTGCCTCTCTGCAGCTGCGTCCCCTTCCTGGCTTCCCGACTGTTGCTGCCCTTTTGGGCTCCTCTGGTTGGCCCCACGGTGGGTCAGCCCATGCAGAGGGCTGTTGTTCTGCGTGTATTAGTCTTGGGTGCATGAGTGATTTTCTCATCACTGGGACAAAATACCTGACACTCAGAGCTTAAAGGAACAGAGGCTTATTTTGAATCACAGTGTCAAAGAGTTCCATCCATGGTGGGCTGGCTCCATGGCAGAAATGGCATGGTATCAGGGTCTGGTGGAGGAAATGCTGCTCAACCCATAACCACCAGCAAGTGGGGGTGAGGGGAGGGTTAGAGAGAGAGAGAGAGAGAGTGAGGAGAAGCAAGGACAGGAAGACAGTCGTCCAGGCCACACCCCAGGAACCACCTCCAACCAGCCCCCTAACAGCACATTCCTCCTGAACTGATCCATGGGTAAATGGTGAGTGCAGTGCATCCATGATTCAGTCTCCAAATGCATGAGACTTTTGGGGAGCACTTTAGCTCCACACCATAACATGGGGTGACTGGGCGGGGGAGGGCTGAAAAAGATCTTTGGGATGAAAGGCTTCCAGTATCACTGTGTGAGAGGAGCTAGAAAGCCCCAGAGATGAGGCAGGATAAGATTTCTGCGAGTTTTCTTCATCATCTAGTTTTTTCTTTCAGCTAGGAATGTGAGGGGAAGTAAAGGTGCATGGGATGGAGGTTCCTGTCATTCTGGAGGCAGTGGCCTTGCTTCTTCAGTTGGCTCGGGAGGAAGGGATGTGGACTGAGGTGGGCCGTGTTAGGTTGCCGGGGTGGAGGTGGGTGAGGGAGGCACTATGGTGGCACGCCAAAGTCCAAAGCCAGCTGAACATGTCAGAGGCCGGGACAGCTCTGCGTCCCTCTTGTGAGGAGTCAGAGGACAAAGGCTTGATAGAGTGGGTTCCTGGCTTGGTCTGTGGCTCCAGACGCCCTCTGTGATCTCAGAAGTGGACTAAAGCATCGCTCCCACTGAGGTCCTGCAGCAGGAGCTGCAGTCCCTTCATCCCATGTCTGCTCCGCCCTGGTGCTGGACACTTGATTCAAGAGCTAAAGGTGTAGTTTTCAGCAAATACATTTCCATTCTCTTTTTTTGACCAGGACCCTGGAGTTACTGCCTGTGTTTCTGTGTTTGTTTTTTTGTCAGATCTCACCAGGGTCGTGCAGGACATAGCTGCAGCTAAACCCAGGCAAAGAGGCCTCCCCAAGAACGCTCCTCGGAGGAAGGAGATCACGGCTCAGGACAGAGCCGATGAGACTCTGGAGGATGCCCCTGCGAAAGATCCGGAAGACCCGAAGCCAGGGCAGGGGGTGGCCACAGAGAAGGCTGAACCCAGGCATGAGGCAGGGGGTGGAGAAGCAGGCTCCTCAGCCCAGGAAGGGGGTCCGGAAGATGTGCCAGATGGGGGGCAGATAAGCAAAGCCTTCAAGAAACTGTGCAAGATGGTCGAGGAGCGAGTGAAGGCCCACAAAGAGCCTGCGCCCGAACCCCCTGGGCTTGAGCCCTCCGTTCCTGAGCCCCCCACGCCTGAGCCCTCTGCGCCCGAGCCCCCAGCCGACCTCTACACCAAAGGGCACCATGTGCTGGTCACGGGGGATGGCAGCTATGTGGACCCCAGCTTCTGCTCCTCTTCCATCCCTGCCCGTGGTGGGGTGGTGATTTCCATTGAAGACAGCTCCGTGCGTGGTGATGGCCCTGTGCGTGGTGACGGCTCCGTGCGTAGTGACGGCCCTGTGCGTGGTGATGGCCCCTTGCGTGGTGACGGCTCCGTGCATGGTGACGGCCCTGTGCGTGGTGACGGCTCTGTGCGTAGTGACGGCCCTGTGCGTGGTGATGGCCCCTTGCGTGGTGACGGCTCCGTGCGTGGTGACGGCCCTGTGCGTGGTGACGGCCCCTTGCGCGGTGACGGCTCCGTGCGTGGTGACGGCTCTGTGAGTGGTGACGGTCCCGTGGAGCCCTCTCCTCAGAAGCCCACGCCAGCTTTGGAGAACGGACCCGGGGGCTCCCAGGGGAGCGAGGGGGAGCACACAGGAAGCCAGCAGTCTGCAGGCAAGGGGAAAGAGGCAAAAGCCCAGGAGCCGAAAGGCCCTGGGCTGAAGGGTCATAGTGAGAAGGAAGAGGAGAGCCCTAGGAGACCCCATCCTGTGATCGTCCCGGGTCCGGAGGAACCGTCTGCACCCTTTCCTCCAGTGCCCCGGCCCACTCAGGAGGGAGCAGAGGGGAGGAGCCGTGGCCGGCCCGAGAGGAGCCTTCCCAGGGCCATGGCGTTTAAGAAGGTGGAGGTGGTAGAGTCCATTGAGCAGATTTCCACAGAGAGCATCGAGACGTACGAGGAGACCTCTGTGGTCGTGGAGACCGTGATGGGGAAGACGAAGGCGAATAAGAAACCGGGAGAGAAGGGGTCCTAGGACAGAGGGCTCCGCAGGGCGCATCTGTGGGCTCTGTAGGGGATGCTTTGACACGTTGGGGTGCGTGGTGAGGTTCCCGCGTGGCTTTGATGACTCACTGGCGTTGTCAGGGAACCTACATTAAACTGTGTTCTTTGCTTGCACCCTGTGGCTCGTGTCATCCCTTGGGGCCGTGGGAAGCGGGGTCACCATGCTCAGGGCAGGGGTGCTCGGCCACCATCCAGTCCCGCACTCTTCCTCAGGTGCGCATTCCTCAGGTGTCTGGGTTTCACGTGGAAAGATAATCGTGGCAACCTTGGCCCCTTGGTTCCATTTCCACAGGAGCCCATGCAGCACATCTTGTGCTGCCCCAGGAGTTGGTTCTGATGTGCAGGGTCTAGTGCCCAGGTTCCTGTGTGACAGCAGAAGTGTGGGGTTGGGTTTCTCTGCTCGAACTGGGGAGCACATCCCTCTGGGCTGGGCCGGTGAAGGGTCTCGGGCATGGGAAGTGTGGTCTAAGAGTACCAGCAAAGTCCTCCGGTGCAGAAGTCCAGATGGCAGCCTTTGGAAGTCAGCATGGCAGTACATGAGAGGAGCAAGGTCTAGGGGACAAAGGCAGGCAGGGCACAGTACCCTCTGACCCTGCGTAGCCACCGGGGTGCTGTAGGATGAGACCCTTAAAGTTTTCTTAATCAGAGCATTGGTTTCCGAAAGCAAACATGAGTGTCACTGTGTCATCCCCGGGTTGGATGTCAGTGGATTGGTCCGACGAGCATTCTTTGGGCCCCCACTGTGTGCTGCACAGTGTTCGGGGACGTTTCTCAGGTGTACTAATGAGCGCCGTTGGGAACTGCAGCCCGTCACGCGGAAGCATCCAAGCACTTACTGTGCAACATCCTGAGAAACACGGGACACAAAGCCAGGATCTTCACAAAGACTTGTTCGTGTGCTGAGGATAGAGACTGGGCCCTTGAACCTGCTCTATATGAGCCCTGGACTCCATCCCCAGCCCACGGAAGTGTTTGCTGTCCTCTTGTATCCACTTTCCTACTGACAGTCAGGAGCCGCTTTTACCTGGCCCCAGTTAAAAGCCGCTGCCGATTCAGGAGCTGCTGCCAAAGGCACCAGGGACCCCGAATGTGCGTGCAGTAGTAGGTTACTGCACAGGTCTAAGAGAAAGCAGCTGGCAAAGTGACTGGGTCGTGAGAGAGAAGTGACAGCGCCTCTGGTGGCGCTGTGCTTCTTCCTTATGAATAGCAGGTGCTAAATGGAGTCCCCTGTCCTTTCTACTTAAGGCCTTAAGGCATCTTGTTCTGAATTCCTTTGAGATTCTGATTTCAGGAAAGAAATATATGTCTGTTGTTCTTTCTAAAAATCAATGGAGAACCTGCTGTAATCCACAGGTTGAAATATTTATAATTTAAAAGCATAAGTGAGAATGGGGGATGCAGGAATTCTGGCTGGTACATCTGTCCTATTCAACATCCAGCCTTTTTAGTTTTGAGACTCTGTGCTCAGTTGTCATTTGTATTTTAAGAGGCTGGGTATTGTTTTGGAATGAAAGGTCATTTTTCTATTGTATTCAGCCAATCAAGACAAGTGGACGAGGGGTCTATAGTGTGCCAGGCACGGTGCTGGGCACTGGAGGGACAGCAGGGATGATTGGGTGTGGCCCTGCACCTGATCTTCTGGGGGAGAGGGAGAAAATGCACAAGTCAGCAGAAATGACATGAGGAAATTAAATAAGAGACCTGACAGTGAAGGAAAGCAAAGAGGGTGATGAATAGTGACCAAGTCTATTTGGGATGGGTGCTGAGGTTACAGACATGCATCACCACACCCGGCGGATCAGAGTTGATGGCTTTATTGGGAGGTGATGGGAGAAGGAGGCAGGGCTGGGATGAAGGGAAGGATCCTGGGGCTGTGACCATGGAGACTGTGTCTGGTCCCCAGCCCTTTTCTCTCTGGTTCTCTTTCCTTCTGCTTCTTGGGTTGCCATGAGGTGAGCAGCTTTCCTCCTCCATACCCTTCCACTCTGTTGTTCTGCTTTACCATAGCCTAAAAGCAATGGGGCTCGCTGAACATGGGCTTAAGCCCCTGAAACCATGAGCTAAATCTTTCTTCTTTTAATTCATTAACAGATTTTTGTTACCACCACAGAAAGCTAGTACACAGATAATATTTTGGAGGGCAGAATATACAGGGTTAAACTGCAGAACACAGGGACCTCTGCTTGTGTTGGAAAAGCTCATATGCATAGGGCTTTGAAGTCCAGATAGCACCACAGTTGGGGCAGTTGAGGACATGGGCTACTGACACTTTCTGTTCCACAGCAATAAAGCTGCCAGCCTTAGAGAACAAACGGTCCTCTTAATTGGCAAAATGTACTGCCTGGAGAAATCTTTAACTTCCCAAAGTCCTGCTTAGTTCCCACCTTGCCATAGTATCCCCTTCCTTTGTTTGAAAACCAAATAAATATAGGCTGTCTGATAGAGCACTTTGTCTTTATGAGACACACACACACACACACACACACACACACACACACACGCACGTGCGCACACACACACACAGAGAGAGAGAGAGAGAGAGAGAGAGAGAGAGAGAGAGAGAGAGACCCTCCAGATTCTAGACCCTCCAGAATCATGACTGGTCTCTTATTTAAGCTGTTTGCTGTCTACTTGTTTAGGAGATCGGGGTTGGGCCAAGACCCCATAGTGACAGAGCTTTACATTCAGTGTACAAGGCCCATGTCAACATAGGGTGCATGAATGAGCAGGCCACCAGGTGGCACTGGGGCTCCTCCCCCAATCTCTGAAGAGGCTAAGGTAGACCACCTTCACATTGTCCCGACCAAAGGTGAAGGAGCTGAGATCTCTCTTGCTTCCCTCTGTCCCCCATGGAAGATGGCACCTCAGAGCTCATCTGGTCCTTGGTACCTTCTGATAAAAGGCACTATCACTCAGGTACCTTGATGCTCTGTTGCCCACGTGCCACACATGAGGCCTGGTGCAGCTCGGTACCAGTACAAGGGCCTCTGGCAGAGACAGAGGCAGCAGTGAAATTCTCAGGCAGAGACCACTGAAGACATAGGCAGAGGGTAGGAAGTTTCCCCCTAGAGACCCCACGCCAGGTCCTTGACTCTTCAGGACACAGCGCTCCAGTGCGACAGCGTGTTGGTACAGCTGCTTCCAACTCAGCTCTACTCACAAAACCAGGCTGGCTGGGTCTGGCCCAGGGCTGCCATTTGCTGACTTCCTGATGGACCAGCAGGGTCTGCTGTGAAATCTGCTTTGCCACTGCAAGTTGCGTCTCAGCTGGTGTCCCTGCTGACTTCCTCCCGCTTTCCTATTGGGAAATGATGCTCAGTTCTGTCGTTGACCTGGAACCTTCAGAGAAACATCTTGAAGAAATCATTACAGTCAGGTTCATCCTACAATTCCCTGGCATAGGTTCCTTGTCATGGTAAGGGCAGGCTGGTGCATGAGGTCACCTCAAACTCATTGGCACCTTAATGAAAAAGGGCATTGTCATTCAGGTACCTTGATGAGTACAAATTCTTGGTTCTGGATTCTCAGGCTTGGATAAATGTGCGAAAAAAGCCCTACTGACTTCTGTTTTATTCAAAGAAGTGATTTATTCCTGAGCCCATAACTCCACTCTGCAGGGCCTTGATAGTTACACTACCCCTGCAGCCTTGTGCTTGAACTAGGAGTTTACCAGGTGGCTTTCCTGTCACCTGTGGACATTTGGCAATCTTAGGGCACGGGGCCCATGGACGAATAAGTATATTTCCACCTCCAGCTTGGACAAGCCTGGGCGATGTGCCCGTGGGCTCAAGGGGCATCTTTGGGACAGTATGAGGTGCGACTCTCTGGGTCTGGGACTCAGATGGCATTGAAGGCTCCTTGGTGGAGATTGGTGACTGTTGACGTTAGGCTCTTCTGACCCTGGAAACTCTGTGTGCTGATTTCTAACCACCTTCCCTCAGGGCTGCAGTGCAGGTCACACAGCGCTGAGCACTGGGGACTGAGCCACACGCATCATCATCTCTGGGGCCAGTGCATTTCCCACCCAGTTTCTTCTGCCCGCATGCTCGCAGTGCCTCTTTTCTAAGAGAAATACAGAGCTGTCCTGTTGGCTCAGAGCCTTAATCCCAGGTCAGACTGATTCTTGGTTCTCTGTAAATCTAACCTGAACCCAAATCTGATTAGAGTTTTTTGAATACCAGGAAAGAGTGCGGTGAACTGCACAAGAGACCAAAAACCCAAGTACTGGCCCATTAACTCGCAGTGTAAACGGGGTGTCCGCTTCTGTGGACCCCCATGTGTGTCGCTTAGGCTGGCACTGATGTTCTCGGGAGGCCGTGGGTGGGCACAGTCTGGACCCCTGCAGAGGAAGGCACAGCCCACTGGGGCTGGGTCACCCCATGCATCTGTCTCTGTCCTCGACAGACTTTTCTTCTTCAGGGACTGAGTTCCGTGCACTGCCTCTGTCCGCCAGCTTTCGCCATCTGACTCTCTGCCTCCCCAAACTCCTCAGACTGTGGAGCAGTTCCTTCCTTTGCCCTTTATGGTTCCCATTCTTTCTCTGGAGCTAGAAAACTACCTGCCAGCTGCAGCCACGCCAGCTGCGTGGCCCAGGAGATGCTCTGTGCTGACAGGGTTCCAAGTTCCCAGAGCTTCTAGGACTATTTAACCTCTACCCGATCTAATCCTCTACCACTGTCCCTAGCCTTTGCATCCTGATCTTTAGAAATTTCTAGCAAATTGGACTCTTTGCTTCTAGAGACCTATTCTGGTTGTGAGGTCAACAATTTCTTCCATTCAGCTGTTCTCTTTCCCTAAATATAAAGGGCTTGCTATAGATCCTGAAGGTTTGCCTCTCTCTCTCGCTTTTTTCATTTGTTTGTTCCTTCTTTTTTATCTCTCTTCCTTCCTTTTTTCCTTCTCTCCAACTTTTATTAGCACACATTTGCAGTATATAATAATTACATTCATTGTGGGGCATTGGTGCCTGCATGGGCTGCAACTTAGTTTTTTTTAGATCCCCATCCCTCCCCCTCCTTCTTCTTCCCTCTGTCTCTTGGTTCACTCTCATTTGCAAATGATCTATCTCCCTGTTTCCTATAATGTATCTTTCATATTGTGTGTTTTTCATGTAACCCTTCTAATCAATGAATGTATTGATTCCATGAAGGTCCAGCATTAATGTATATAATGATGACACAGAACAATAACCTCATAAATTTATTTTTCTAAAAAGTTTAATGTTTTGGGAATTGATCTCTGAAATTAAGTATTGAATAGAAGTGTCTCTGTACCACTTTGGGGCTTACCTATAACCTTCTCTATCTGTTTTCAGTCAGAGACTTTCTTAGGATTTTAATAACTGAAATTGATGAATACTGTATCAGAGAATAAAATTATAGAGTGGTTTTACAATAAACTGTTGGGCTGGGGATTTAGCTCAGTGGCTCAAGCGCTTATCTGGTAAGTGTGAGGTCATGAGTTTGAACCCTGGTACCAAAAAAACCAAAAAACGAAAAGCAAAAAACAAAACCAAAACCCCAATGTCTATTAAGATTTTCCTGGACTAGCACGTGGTCCACAGTGTAGGGTGTAGCTAGTCTGTAGCAGTGCTCACAGGCCTTCCATTACAAGTGGTTACCATGTGTGGTGGTTACACATACACTTGATTGGCTTGGGCGCCACCTAGGGGATTAGAAAAGCACATTCCTGGGTGTATCTGGAGGAGGGGGCATAGAAGTGTAGCCTTCAGTCTCTATCTGGTCACTGGCCCTTTTTCTCTGGCACTATTCCCCAGAGCTGCTTCTGGGACACCATGAGCTCAGCAGCTTTGGTCTGCCCCGGCCTTCCGCCATGAAGTTATTGCCTTGGAGCCAGCTGGCCATGGACGGAATCTCCTGAAACCATGAGCCAAGTGAAACCCCTTTTCCTTTTTTTTCCTGTACCAGGGATTGAACTCCGACCTCACATTTGCCAGGTAGGTTCTGTGCCGCTGAGCTATCTCCCTGACCCAAAATCTCTTCTCCTTTAAGTTGTGAGTATTTGGTATTGTGTTCTAGCAACACCATGCTGGTCAGAATTTAGCATTGTCCAGTACTTTGTGGCAGTGACAGAAATCCTCATCAAGTATCATCGGTCACCTGACATTTCCCAGTTGCTCTGTGTTTAAGCAAGGTCATCATCTCCTTCAGGGTGACTATGGAAGGGTGGATGAGAGTCTGCAATGGGCTCCGGAGCAGCCTCAGTTGCAGTTACAAATCACTGGAGGGAAGCACCGTGGATCTGCCCAGAGGACTCTATGACTTCGGGGAGTCACCTCCAGCTTCTTTAGAGTTTATGTGAAAGATAAATAAGCCTTCGTTGAAATAAACCATGGAAATTTTGAGGTCTTTTGTAACTAATGTAATTTAATCTAGCTTGGCTAATGTATTCTAAAATGATGTTTCTGATAGGTTTGTTTTGTTTTGTGTCACAGTGCTGGGGGTTAAGCCCAGGCCCTCCAGCATGCTAAGCAAGTCTACAGCAGGTCTGCCTCTCCAGGCCTTTTTTCTTTTTGTTGTCTCAACCTCTAGAGTGGTAGGTATATGACACCATGCCTGGCTCTAAAAGGTTTTGACCATGACCCACAATAAGAAATACTCAGCACACACACAGACACATACATATGCACAAGCATGTGTGTTCACACGTACCTTGGAAACAAATATTCCAGAAAGCAACATTTACCTTTAATATGCACCAATGGTCTATTCTGCTGTCTCTCCTTCATCTATGCTATTAAGAATATGCTGGTATCAACTTCCAAAACTGATTTTACAATCCATTAATAGAAGTAACCTGAGTGTGACAAATGCTGCCATTGACCATTATTTGTGTGTGATTTATGTGCTAATTACGTGTCTAATGTATCTTTACTAAAGTAGGCCCTTTGGATCTCTCTTGGGCAATTTTTTATTATCTGCCCTTAACTTATGGAGGTGCTTCAAGTAACATAGGCTACATCCCACAGAATTTCTGGAAGGTTACATTTTATTGTTGTGCCTCCTAATTTACAACACATCTTTTTAAATTTACTTATAAAATTTTGTCACAGGGAGTAACAATATCAACCTGAATAATCGTTATTCACTTATTTCCATTTTTTAAAATAAATGACTATAAATAGCTGTCTCTTGCATTAGGATCAGGGATATCATAAAAACATCACCAGCTGGACATAGTTTAGTGTTAATAGTGCTGCAAAAAATGAAATAGAGACCAAATGTTTATATATAGGACTATACATATTTTTATATACTGTATACTCATATCAAAACTTGCTGTTTCTATTAAGAAGCTGATAAGTTACTCTATAATTTCATAAAGTATACCACAACTGTGAAAATATGGACAACTATTTTATATTTTTGTTGCTTATAGAAGACATTTAATGTTTATACAGAGAGATGCAAAATTACAGAGGTGACATAATGAGAGTTGAACATTTTCACCTGATTTTCCAGCAACCTTTTTCTTTAGCCAGAATTAGCTTGGTATCCTCTGAATATCCTTTTTAGCAATGAATATGGTATCTGTTTCTTCAATAAATACACACACACATTTCACGTATATGTGTGTATGTACATTTTTTGTACAAGTGTATATATACACATATATACACACATGCGGATAGTCTACATATGTATATATATTTCCGTGTGCACTTGAACATACATGCACACATAGTGTCCTTTGGTTTATTTTCAGACCATTAATGTGAAATGAATTTTCAATGATTTCCATTATTATTTTTTTCTTTAAATCTAAACTGGTTTAAAAAGACCTTTGCAACAAGTAATAAATTTCTTTAAAAAAATCATAAGTTGTATCACATTTCAAAGCAGGATGCAGAGGAAGTCACAAGGTATTGAAGACAGAAATTCATGCCAGTATGGTGCCAAAAAGAAAGCAGTGAGGTTTCAGGGTTTCTTTCTCAGGGCTGCACTGTCAGGGGACGGAGTGGGGCCCTGCGCTGCTGGCTTTAGTGAAGGGACTGTAGGCTGGGCAGGAGAGGCTGAGAAGGAATCATTTCGTGGGGACAGCTGGACACTGGGGTTGAGTGCAAGAGGCAACCTCAGGGAGGAACGAAGTGACCACAGGCCACCATTCGGTAATGTAATGGTGCGTTTCGGGTTGGCGACTCTAATGATGGGCTGAGTGTTGGATGTCTCACGGGCTTCTGAGCTGCCAGTGAGGCAACTGTGTGCTTTCCTAGAGGGGGCTTCCTGCTCCTTGGGGTGATGGGGCCTGCACCCGCTGGCACAGGAAGGGTCTGGCCTCCAAAGGTGCTGCTCACCTTTCTGCCTCTTGCAGGGCAGAGGCTGTGACTGCACGCAGAAATCAAACCACCCTGTGAGGGGCTGCGTTTCTCTCCAGAGATACTTTTGGGAGATTAAAACCTGACTAGGTGTGTGTAAAGCTGTCAAAACAAATAATACTCATCTCACCTGTCACTGACATCCGATCAAGAATCCCAGAGTGACTTAGGAAAAGGAACATTTCTATTTTAAAAGCTAGTGAAGTGCTCACCCCAGATGTGTCACTAGATCTGCCTTAATTTTTTCTCTTGGGCAGCTATGGGAGGACCCCCCCTCACATTGGCAGGGATGGGGGGTTGGCTATATCCAAGGGGGAGGGCTGGGCTGCATCAGCAGATTTTACTGTCACAGCTCAGAGCAGGTGACTACCAGCTGCCAGCTGCCTGTTGGGTCGGTGAATTACCATGGTGGTGATGGTGGAAAAACTTCCAACACTCGTGCCTTTGAGTCTCCTTTCCCAGTTCGGTGATTAAGGCTGTCTACAGATGGCATCTTTCTCATGATGTCAGTGTCATGTCTGTCCTGGGCAAATCTTTCTTAATTCCAGCCGTCTTTGTGGGAAGAGCTTCTGATCCTCTTGGCCCTGTGACGGCTGCAGAGTGTGCTGCATACATCTGCTCTAATTTTCTTGTGACTCCTGCCTGGGACGAGAATACAGAGGAACATTCTCGGGGTCCCTGAATGTGGCTTTTTTTCATGCATCCTTCTCTCAGAGGTGAAAAATGTGTGTGGGGGTCCCAGCTTTGCTGGGGGACTCCTCATTAGAACGACAGAAATGAAGAAGGCAGAGTCACACCTGGGGTGAAGATGGTGGGAATGCTGGCTTTGGGGCAAGAATAAAAAAGATTGTTCCGTCATAATTAAATTAACAGTGGATGGCGGGCGAAACTGCTGATGGAGAGGACAGAGTTGCCCGGGTGGGATGACAGTGACTGCTGGGTGCCTGGAAGGACAAGGTGAAGAGGAGGCTGCGGTGGACACGGAGGGGTGGGGATGGAGGGGGCGGCGGCACGCCTCAGTTCTTGCCAAGGATGCTCTTCAAGCTCCTCTCCACAGCCTCGTCCAGCTCCTCCTCCAGCTCCTGCTTCTTGGACATGGCCAGCTTGGACTGGTAATCTCGTACCACCTGGTCGATGTATGGGGCACTCTGCGTGCCATGCAGCATGAGGGTCCACTCCTTGAGCACCCCCTTCTGGGGCGAGCTGCCCACGAAGCCCAGCTCCAGCGTCCAGGTCCCCCGGGCATCCTCCCCCCACGTGTGGGTGGTCATGAAAGGCCACTTGTCGAAGCCCACCTTGGAGTCGTCGTCCCGTGGCCGCCGGCTCAGCAGGATGGACTTGGTGCCCATGGGTGACGTCATGTTGATGTTCAGGTCTCCTCGCCTGGTGGCATTGACTGTGATGACCGCCTGCACGTGCTCCAGGTAGCGCACGAAGTTCTCCTTGCCCTCGCACGCAGCCGTGGTGAGTGTGAGCACCAGCTTGCCGGAGGGTGGGATCTTCCTGGGGAGGGAAGAGGAGACAGGTGAGGCTGGGCAGGCACCAGCCAGGGCTTGGCAGGCAGCACCAAGAAGGAGCGAAGGAGCAGGGCTGGTGCTGCCACATGGGGTGGGGTTAATCCCCTGCCCGCCTGCGGGTCAGAGGGGCTCCATCCCTAGCAGGGCTGAGCCTACTTGTCTGCCATGGCACTCACCCCCTTCCCTTCCTTTTTTTCTCCTTTCTTCCTTCTTTTCTTTTTTCTTCGCTCTTTTCTTCCCACCCCGCCCTTCCTTTCTTCTTTCTTTGCAGTCCTGGGGATTTGACCCAGGACCTTCACTCAGAGCTACATCCCCAGGCCCTGTTTATTTTTTATTTTCAGAAGGGTCTTGTTGCCTAGGCAGGACTCCGACGTGGTGAGCCTCCTGTCTCAGCCTGCCAGTGTGCTGGAATGACAAGCATGTGCCTGGCTCCTTGGTGTCTGTTTTGTTGGCCTTTCTCTCGTGCCTTTCTGATATTTCCCCTTCCATACTGGTGTTTCCTGTAATCATCTCTCAAAAAACTCAGCAGCGTCTCAGGGCTGGCTTTTGGAGCTGACTTTATTCTTCCTCGTGTAGTGCCAGCTACCTTGGTACTTGGGTGATGTTACCCGTTATAATTGTTACTACGGGGAGCATCTCTCACGGGAGACACTGGGGCCAGAAGGGCTTTGGGTTTTGGAATATCTGCATACACAGAATGAGACCTCTTAGGATCAGACCCAAGAGGAAACATGAAGCATCCTTCCTCCCCATCGCCCAAGGGTAACTCAGAACAGTATGTTCAGGGTACCTGCTTGGACTGGGATCCATCGCACAGGTCAGGCATGGAATTCTTTACCTGCTGCCTCTTGTTGTTCACAGAATTCTGAACTTGAAGTATTTTGATTTTCAGATGAGGGACCTTGAACTTGTTCTCCCATTAAAAGTGGCTGAAGTTCTTTTAATGACATCCAGTGGAAGACAATCCTCTGGAGGGTCAGGAGACTTTGGGGGTATCTTGGGCCCAGTGATGGAGACCCTGGGGGTTCGGTCTAAGTGTTCCCTACACCATCTCTCCCCATGCTAGCCTCCTCCAGAGCTGGGCTCCTTCCCACAGTGAGAAGCTTAGAGGTCCTGGCACTGGGGACATCATGTCTGAGGGACATAAGTGACCGCTTGGAGTTTGAAGACCCCTGACTCCGGGAACTCACCTCCCTGGGTTAGAACTCTGCTTCTATGCTTAGGGCATGAAGTCTGGGTAGATGATTTAGGAGCTGGGATCTCACCAGCGTTGTGAGTGATCTTGTGAGGTATAAAACCCCAGGCACAATGCCTGGAGGGGGCCCCTCCACTGTGCTGTTTTCATACTCCTGCCTGTGCTAACCACTCTCCTCTCACGAGGCTTCTACCTGGGAGCACAGAGTGGAAAGTACAAGGTGTGATCACAATATATGATGAATGTTTAAAAAAATTTTTTTTGGTCTTTTTCGTTTTTTTTAATCGGTACCAGGGATCGAACTCATGACTGCCTGCTTGCAAGGCAGGCACTTATGCCGCTGAGCTAAATCCCCAGCTTCTATTTAAAAAATTTTTATAACGAGAGACTCACTGCCATGAATCTCCTTTGGATGACTCCCCTTCAGTTCAAGCACACTCATCCCACGGTTCTTGCCACTTTCTGAAGCAGCTCTGGAGTCCTCTTTTTTGAGTGTCTTTGGCTGTGCTGTTGTGGCTGCCTCCACGTCCTGAATCCATTCAAAACATTTACCTTTCACGGTCATTTTGACTTTGAGGAGGAGGAGCCAGAAGTTGCACAGCACTAGATCTGATGAGTAAGGTGGCTGAGGACATAGCGTTTATGAACTGTCTTTCCCTTGGGTGGATAAGTGTGTTCCAAGTGAGAGGGAGTATTTTGAAGGGGATTAATGGCACTGTGGCTTTTACAATGAATAATTTTTAAAAATATAAACACTACCATATATTTGATCATGCTTCATATTTCAAAATTCACTTAAAATTGAGAATTAGAGCCCATAGCTTTAAGGAGCTGCAGAAGGAGTGAGCGGGGTGCACCTGAGCTCAATGCTCCCTGAACCCGGGAAGCAGGACAGGACTGGAAGCTCTGCTCCTTCTGCGTGGCAGGTGCGGCAGGGTGCAGCTCCCCTTGAGCAAAGTCATGCATCTTCCTGCGACTTACTTGATAAAGCCTCTTTGGAAAATTGCTTTTTAAATTGACTCCTTCTCTGAGCAGATAAATGCCAAGGAAACCTGCAAACCTGGCAGTCGCTGCCCCCTGCACTCCACCCTGTGTGGTGTGGAAAGTGATAGTCGCCAGGCTGGTTCCTCTGTCCAGCCCCTTGCAAAGATAGATCCGGGGCATCAGGGTGCAGCCAGGCTAGGGTCTCCTCTGAGTTATCTGCCCAGCACCTCTGTCCCGGGCCTCTGAGGACAAGTTCAGAAGCAGGGCTAGTGAGGAGTGCAGGGCACGGAGGGGAGGCAGTGCTCTGGCAGCCCTGGCCTGGGGGCTCCTTCCTGAGCTCCTGGCTGGTCCAATGTGCCTGTGGGCAGCATTTTGATCTCCTCCTTGTGCCCAGGGATGCTGGCTGTGTACTTTCATTCCTCCTCCATTCAAAGCATAGGTTCTTATGTCTATGTGTCTGGCACTGGAGGAGGCCCTGGGGTGGACCCCTCGCTAGCCAGCAAGGATTGGTCTCTGTGGAGCCAGCCGGAGCTGGGCCAGGACAGCTCTCTGCTTCCTCTGTGTTGGAAGCGGTGCTCCCCTCCCCCATGGACTTGGGTTAAGTGGGTGAACAGGGCAGAACCTTCAGTCCCATGTCCACTTGCACAGTGGTTCCTGGGTCAGCTGTCTTAGTTCTCCCAGTGACAGACCGTCTGGCATGGCAGTTAGGGACTTGATTGGGGGAGAACACTAATTGGGCAGGTTTTCTGGAAGTCTTAAGGAAGCGCTTTTCAGGAAAAGTCCCCAGGCCTTATCTTGGGGTAAATTAGGTCATTCAAAAGGTCTAATCATTTAGAAGGAAAAATCCTGCATCTTAATTTTTATAACCTAAGATGTGTGTTCAAAATATATGATGAATGTTTAAATTTTAAAAATTTCTAGCTGGGTATGGTGGCACATGCCTATAATCCCAGCACTTGGGAGGCTGAGGTAGGAGGATTGTTGCATGTTCAAGGCCATCCTGGGCTACAAAGTGAGCTTAAGGCCAACTTGAACTGGATAGTGAGACCCTGTCCCAAAAAGACACACACGAAAAAATTATTATAGTAAAAGAGACACTGTCACTAATCCCCCTCAAAGTCCTCCTCCTCGATTTGAGCACACTTATCCCAGCATTCTTGCTACTTTCTGAAGCGGTTCTGGAAGTGCTGTTTCATGAGTGTCTTAAGGGATACGGTCCTGCTGAGTGCCACCCAGGCGACAGGCAGGCTTGCAAGAACGTGCCACTGCTTGCCCACCTCATTCACCAGATCTGGCCCTGTGTGACTTCTGGCCCCTCCTCAGAGTGGAAAAGGCCATGAAAGGGAAATGTTTTGAGTCAGTTCAGGACCCTGAGGCAGCCTCGACAGGGAAGCTAAAGCCCTTCAGCACGCAGAACTTCCGGACTGCTTCAGAACGGGGCAAGCATGCTGGAATCAGAGTGCTTGAAGGGAAGGAGAGTATTCTGAGGGGGGATTAATGGTAATGTAGCCTTTGCTGTAATCAAATTTTAAACATTCACAGATTTTTCAATCAACTCCTTTTTTGATTTGAATACGGGCCTCAGCTCAGAGTGACATTAGCACTTCCCCAGCCTTGCTGTCAGAAAGCCTGGATTTTCATGTTTCATCCCAGTCACTACAAGTGTTTCACCACTCTGGAATCACTGTGGCCACTGGACCAGCCACTAGAGTTTTTTACTGAAGCCTTATAATCCGATGCATTTGATCTATTGAGTATAAAAGCATTGTATTACAATGGGCCCATACTTTTCTACTGCTAAAGGAGAGGAAGGTAAAGAGTTTGAAAACTGCTGAAATAGGGAGTCAGAGAGGTCAAAAGCCTTGTCTACCTGGGGAAGGCAGGATTCGAATTCAGGTCCGTGTAACTGACAGAGCTGCAGAGAATCCCAGACCAAGGATGGAGGAGGCCATGGATCTCAGACCGGGAGTAGATGGGTCAAGCTCAGATGACCACCAGACACAAAGTAGAGGAGCAGGTGTCCCCTGAGACAAACAGACACTGCCCCCACTTACTCGGGGTCCTGCACGGTGCCTCCCACGCAGTGGAATCTCTCCGGCACGGTCTTCCAATCTTTGGCCATTTTCACCATGGCGCCGGCGTCCAGGACCCCGTAGCCAAAGAGATGGTTGAACTCCAGGCCGACTCCATTGCGCCGCCACTGGTGGACTTCGTCGTGGAGCTGGTTCCGCTTGGAGGTGAGCACCGTCAGGTGCTGCATGTCACGCCAGGTCAGCTCCAGGCTGGGTGCAGGAAGCAGAGAGGGACAGAGACACACAGCTAAGAGGAGCGACCCCCAGGACACCTTGGGACCTGGGGAGACTGTGGAGCATTTGAACGCTCCCTATCAGGTGTAAAGGTTCACCCACCAGTTAGAACCACTGTCTGTTTACAAGCAAAACCCTTTTTGCCTTTCTTACTAAAGACTGTTATTCAAAAGAACATTCTCATATGTGTGTGCATGTGCACACACACACACACACACACACAAACACACCTCTGGCTCAAATGAAGACTGGTGACACCAAGTGTGGACAAAGATGCAGAGCAGCCAGGGCCCCTGGACCTTGGTGTGTGAATAATTGTGACCACGCTGCCTGCCACCTGCATCATCTAAAGTTTTCCATATGCTGAGTCCAAAGTCTAGAAATTCATCCCTAGATGTGTGTGTGTGATCTAGATAAGTGTCTTTACCAGACACCTCACAGCTGTGAACTGCAAAGCTACCAATGTCACCCATAGTAGAAGGAATAAAGCATCTGAGGGGTAACTTAGAGAATGTGAGGTACTAGGAGGTGACAAGAATGAATAAACCATAATTACCCCAAGTAATACCAACAAATCCCACCAACACAATGTCTGCCTATGGAATGATCATGTCCTCAGGGGGACTGCAGTTAGTCCTCAAGACAAGACTGATACAAAGGTGCGAGACGGGCCCCTCTCCACTCCAGCCTGCGGCCCTGCTGAGTTCCTGCTCTCTGTCATCTGCACAGCTCCCATGATGCCATCTGCTGTGATGCAACCTGGCCAAAGGGGCCAAACTTGGGACGCTGCCCTGTCCTGAACTTTCAGCCTCCAACAACTGTGAGATAAATAAACCATCTGTCTTTACTAAGTATCCAGCATCAGGTGTTTTGTTACAGCAAGGGAAAGAGGGCAGAACTACAGAATATGATGTCTGGTTCCATTTGTGTAAAGTTTAAAAACAGGAATGAGGAGTCCGTGTGACTGGGAGCTGTGTTTGTGGTTTGCTGCAGGACTTGAAATTAGAAGGAGACCTTGGGGCTTTTGAGTAATGCTGGTTTGCTTCCTGGCTTGGGTGTGGCCCACATGGGTCTGTTCGAGTTTTGAAAATGATGCCATCACTTTCAAGGGCAAAGGCAGCGTCCTCAGCATCATTACATCCTGGGATCCCAAGTGGTCCTCAGCACAAAGCAGCCTCCAGCTAAAGCTCTGTTCGTGGAATCCTCCGTCACTGGTTTCCACACTGCAAGTCGTGGCTCATTTGTGGGCTGAGGAATGAATGTGCTATACAGGGCATCTGTCTAGGCTGCTGTTTAAAATCTTCTTAGGGTGGGGACAGAAAATCCCTCTGCTTTCACCACCTCCAGACCCATTCAATCAGGACCTCAGGGAATAAGGCCTCACCACTGGACATTAACATTTCCCAGATCATCCTGGTAGGCAGGCAAGGTTGAGATTTTATAACTATTATTTTATAAAAATGATTTATAAACTATGATTTTATAACTATTATTTTAGAAAAAGAAATGAGTAAGGGATAATAATGGGACTTTTTTTGTAATATTCTGCTCTGATATTTTCTCATAAGATGCAGGTATGTGTGTGTGTGTGTGTGTGTACATGTGTGCTGGGCTTCAGTGCAGAGTTTATCTCTACCGGGGGTGTGGGGAATCAATGGCAAACCCTGAATTGCTGTTCTTTTCAGAAGTCAAACAATTTAAAGCATATGAGGCCACATAATTCACTTGATATAATTTCAACACACGGAGTTTATTGGTTTGAAGCTCTGAATCAGAGACATTGCCCTAATAATCCACAGGCACTGGAAATACAGACCTTTTTCTTTTAAGGAGAAAGGTTAAAGGCCAATGTTTATTTGAGGCTGTTCAGAACCTATCTGGGACATGCGGTCCCCTAGGACCCGAGAGAATGATGGGCACCTTCTGGAAGCTGATGATGGCTAAAGGTACTGCACTTTGCTGAAACGGGGCCATGAATTTATAATCCCAAAGGTGTGGATGTATGGGGGTCTTGATGACTCAAGGGTGAAACTTCTGGTTTGCTGTGAAACTGGGATGTGCTTCCTGAATGAGAAAGAGAGAGAGAGAGAGAGAGAGAGAGAGAGAGAGAGAGAGAGAGAAAGAGAGATTGATTCTTACCTCTGAGATAAATCAGAGTTTAGCCTCTGTGTGACGGTCTCTGTTTGGCTGGCCATTGCATGTGTCTGAAAAGTAAAACTGGGTCCTTCCTAATTGCCCCTTCTGAGCAATGTAAGAATGGGTGAAATGTACTACTCTGCAAAAGTGGATATTTCACCAACCTGTTAAGCCTTCACATGACCATATCACCTAGACTTGCAGGGAGTTGTTGAGTAATAAAAATCCCATGTAGAGTATCTACAACATCGAGGTCACTGTGTGAGAAGTGATAGGACAGGTCATGCTAGCTGCTTTTCCTTGTTCTTGTGTTTTACACAACAGCCTGTGACAGGCACTGCATGTGAAGGGATTCTGAGGCGTCCCTTGTGTGTCCCCCACCCAGAGCCACACTCATTCTGAGAATGGCCCGAGGAGCCCCTGCCTGTGTAGAGCCTGCGATCTAAGAGAGAGGCAGGGGACAGCTCCTACTGAGAATGTGGGAAGAGGGCAGGAGTGCTCAGGAGGCCGGGGGTGGCGCCTCACCGTGGTCCTCAAGGCCCTGTGACCAGTGTGCATCCTCAGTCCTCCAGAGCCAACATCTGGAGGGGGTGGCCTGGGAATTTACAGGTCAGACCCTGCCCAGCTGTTTCCGCTGCCCACAGACCTGGGGAGCTTTGGTCTAGGATGGTGGCTCTCAGCCTTGGCTGCACTTTGGAACCATCTGGAGACGGTTAAAAAAGTAATCATGACGGGGCCCGGACATTTGCATGCTATGGATTACTTTTGATTTCACGGTGGCAGTGTCTCTTCCAGGTCCAGTGGTTGGGTAGAGAAAAGATCCCAGCCCTGGAGCTCAGCCACAGCAGGGTTCACATCTGGCCCAGTGAACTCGGACCATTGTTTTGGCATCCTGACCTGCTGCGACCTTCGTGCCTTTAACACGGAGTATGTGCACACGTGGGTGTGCTGGGCTTAGTGCAGTTTATTTCTCAGGGAGGAAGATGAGAAAAAAGAATTGGCAAAACCTTGAGTGACTGTTCTCTTCAGAAGTTGAACAGTTTGAAGGGCTGGGAGCAGCGTAACTCACTTGATAAGATTTCATCCCATACAGGGTTACTGGTGTCACAGGTTTGCTGCAGGGCTAAGAGTGGATTGCATGTGTAAAGTACAGAGGATAGGTATGCAATAAAGAGTTTATTATTATCAGTAGTAAAGTCAGTCTCAAGTATTGGGAATTGAAGCAAGTTAGAAGAGAATGTCCACCATGTTCCAAAGGAAGTATTGTGTATATATGTGTGTGTGTGTACACTTTTGTTTTGAGGCAGGGACTTGCTTTGGAGCCCAGGCTGGCCTTGCACTCGTGATTATCCTCCAGCATCAGTCCGCCAAGTGCTGGGATTTCGGGCATGTGCCATCACGCCCAGTGGGGTTATAATATTTAAAAGTTTATAAATAAATATTTTTCATTTTAAAGATATAGTCATACTTCAGATCTATCCTAAAGAAGTGATATTCTTGAAGCAGAGCAGCAAAACTCTGAGAAGTTGTTTGAACCTAATGGACAATATAACTTTCAATATTTTGCAGGTAAGACAATAGAGATTCAGAAAAGGTGGGTGATTGTCTAGTTAGATACTTCTTTCCTTCCTCATTTAGCCAAACCTCAGTTTACTCAGAAGTTTAGCTTATTCAGAAGCCAAACCTCAGTTTATAGCAATATGCTCAGCTATAAAACTATATTTCCCATAGTACCCAGTGTGAGGTGGTCATGTGACAGTTCTGGCCAATGAGAAATAAGTAACTACTGGGCAGGGTTTCTTGGAAAGCAGGCATGTTTTAGTGCATGTGTGCTAAAGGCACAGTGAATAATTGGCACAGAACCATGAATCTCTTTAGGAATTCAGCAGCCTGGGCAAATGACTTTTTCTTGTCGGAATCCCAGAGGACTTGGCATCAAGTGCTGCCTGCTGAGGGTGAAAGGGGAGGTCCATGTGTGCTTGTGGGCCTGAGATGAACAGGTCCATCTTCAGGAAGTGCACATCACATGTAGGCTTTGGTTTTGGTCCTTGATCGGTAAATTGTGGCTAGGGTTCCTTTCTTGGTGTTCTCAATTTTCCACCTGATTTTTGCTAGAATAATCCAAATTTTGAATGGAATCAAGAAGTCTTATTTGTGAGAGGAGAGTAAGTATGCCCGTGTGCTCGAGGCCAGTGTGTTGGACTGGGTAGCCTCTTAAAGTTCCTTCCTGTCCTAGGAGGTGACTCTTGTCTCTTTTGTGAATCGGAATATGAACTGTGTGCTTGGGGTGGAACAAATCCAGCAGATGGGCACCAGATGTACAGTTGCCTAGCAACTGTGACAGGGTGAGAAACCCAGATCCCCTCCTGGAGCCTGAAGCAAACCCCTCACAAGCTGCTGGTGCTGCTTCTTTGAAGGCTCCTGCACAGCAGTGGTGACATTCACACCATGTGGGCAGTGTCTCAAGCCCAAATGTTCATCTCTAGAATGTTGGGCTGGCTTTGCTGGCTTCGCTGAGGGACCTGTGCCGCAGTGCGCAGGTGGCTGCATCAGCATTCGGTGTAAGGTGTGGCCGGCAAGGACGGAGGTGACCTCTCAGGGGGAGGGAAGACCCAGGGAATGGCCTGCTTCTCCTTCTACATCATGTGACTTCCTCCTGCTTGTCGCAGTGTTAAGAAGTGAACGGAGGCCAGGTACTTGTGGGCATGAATATGATCAAAGTGTGTTGTACACACAGAGCTCCTCAAAAAAACCCTGTGCGGAACCAGGTGGAAGGTGAGTCGGGGGGAGGGGATAGGAACTATTAAAGCGCATATGTACACACACAAATCTGCCAGAAAGCAACCCGTTTCCTGTCCAGCCAGTCTGTACTCATAAAGAATGTGGGGAAAAGTAAAAAGCAGAAGCAAAATCACCTTACAAATGCACAGGTCAGGAGTAGGGTGCATCCTGTTTGCCAAATGTTCTGGGAAGAATTGCTCGACCCCCAGCTGGGTGCAGGGGTATTTTTCACTTATCTGATTGTGAATATTCCTAGCTGATAAGGGCCAAGGAGTGCGGAGGAGGCTAGAGGACGAGAAACAGAGGTTTCTGGGCCCTGTTTTGGTGTCTGAGCAGCTGCTGACAGATGCAGTCTTCTAAGGTAGTCGCGTTATTAGGTTTGTGCATGCATGTGCAAGTGCACATGTGTATGTGTATGAGTGTGTGTGCACGTGTGGGAGGCATAGGTCTTGTGGGCCATTTAGAAATGTCCCACAGAGTCCATGGCTTTCCTAGGCTATCACACCACCCTTCAGGGCCCTGAGCCGTAAACATACTTGGCCTCCAAAGCTAGTGCAAACACCCCGGCCGCCTCGGGAGCCGCTGCCGATGTCCCAGAATGCCGCAGGGTGCAGTTCCCATACAGATCTGTGGTGGCCTGGAAGGGAAAATATTGAGTCGTGCGTGAATAATCATACTATTTTGAATCCCCAAATGACGTGGAATAGAGGATCTTCTACTTATGTATTTAAACTGTACCTCATTCTGGAGAAGATTAAGATGTAGCTAAAGATAAGGTTAACAACCGTGTACTTGTCCTGTGTGTGAGCTTCCTAGCAGCCCATGTGAAAATGGACACATAATCGATTATTTTTATAGTATCCAAAGGTAACTCAGTTGTTGAAAGAAGCATATATATTCTTTGAACAGAGATGAGATGGACTTATTTCCTGTATCTGAACAGTAAGTACCAAGAGGTGGAAAGTGGCAAATCACTACCTTCTCATTAAGGTGGTACTTAGATTCATTTCACTGGGACTCCAAAGAGAAAAGTCCATTCTCAGTGTGTGTAAGACCAAGGGGCTTCATGAAGATCAAGTACAAACCACAGGAATTTGCTTTCGCCTCTGTCCTAGATGCTCAAGGGAGGCAATCATCTGAGGAACAGAGTTAGAAAGTTTAGAGGAATCTATTGGGCAAATCTACAATCTGAAGAAGTTCAAGGCTCCTCCCCAGCCCGAGGTGAAAGAACCACAGATGGAGAGGCCACACCAGTGGATTGTGGGAAGTAGCTTCTAGTGGGAGGAGCAAGGTGTCAGGGGCTGGGGGACCCTTCTGGTCTTCTCCCTGCCTGCCCCAGACTGATGACTTCCAGGCAGTTGATGCTGCCAGCCTTCCCTGGGGTGGAGGTGTGGGCAGAGCCACAGGCTTGGTGAGAGCTCTGGATGGTGAACTTTACAAGCAGCTTGGGCCCAGGAATGTCAATGGTACCTGGTTTCCAGGGAAGATGTTTTGCTTAGAAAATTATAGAATTGGGGCCAGGGATTTAGCTCAGTGGCATAAGTGCCTGCCTTGCAAGTGTGTGGTTGCGAGCTCAATCCCTGTTACAAAACAAAACAAAACAAAAAAAAATCATAGAATCAGGCCAGGGATTTAGCTCAGTGGTGTAAGTGCCTGCCTGGCAAACGTGAGGTCGTGATTCCCAGTACCAAAACAAACAAAAAGAATCATAACCTAAGTGTATGATCCTCAGCTTTTTCATTGTTAAAATCAAGAATGGATTTTAAAACAGGAGGAGAATCACAGCTCTCCCTGGGAAGACACACAGCTGTGTCCAGCTTTAGGGGTGCTGGGGGCCCAGAGAAGCCAATCCGGGAAACTATGCTTTAGTCACTGCATTATGAGGGTGGGTCTTAGTTGAGGGGTGCTGGTGTGACACCTCAACTCATGCAATGATTTATTCTTTTTTTTCTTTTTGTTACCAGGGATTGAATTCACGACCTCATGCTTGCTAGGCGAGTACTACGCCACTGAGCTAAATCCCTGGCCAATGATTTATTCTTTTAAGTTGTGTGCTGGGGCAACTGGTTGCTAAAGTGGGTTCCTCATTCTTTTGAATCAAAGCAATTCGAGAATCCAGGCAGGAACTGAGCTGCGAAGAGGTGGTCACAGCTCTTGCTTCCTCTGGCAGGTGTCATCGGTCTCCACATGGTCACAAAGTGTCACCCTCATTCACAGTGGGTCCTTTGAGAGGGGAAGGGAGCTGTGCATCACCCCCTCCCCGAGCCCAGCCTCCGGGGAAGGGGACAGGGAGCCCACGCTCACCACGCCTGCCTCCGGGTTCCTCTTGCGACCATTGCTGAAGGTGGATGCCAAGGTGGATGAGCAGCTCTCGTCGTACAGTGCTGTCCTGCCATCGTTGATGGCTGAGTTGATGGAGATGGTCCACATACTCGAGGCGTAGCCATCACAGTTGCAGTCATCATAGCTTCCACCGTCCCCAGAGGCCCACACGTAGATGCTGCCCTTGCCCCCGCGGCCCTGGATAGCAGGGAGATGCTGCTGCTTAGCATGACTCAGGGGAGGGTGCAGCCGAGGTGAGGCCCTGGGGAGCGGGGTGAGGCCCTGGGGGGCGGGGTCTGGCCCAGGTGAGGCCCTGGGGGGAGGGGCTGGCCCAGGTGCATCCTGTCTTGGGGGAGGGGCCTGGCCCTTGTGAGGTCCTGCAGGGTGGAGTCTGGCCCAGGTGCGTCCTGTATTGGGCGGGTATTAACCTCGTCCTGGGTGTGGTCCTGTCTAGGGCAGGTCATGATCTGGGCTTCTTCAGCGGCTGAACTAAAAGTGACTGGATTTGCTTTTTATCCCATGAGAGAGAAATTATACCATTTTCATGGGGGTAATCTTTTTCAGGATGGATCCAACATAAAATTCACCTGGGTTTACAATTTAGGCAGGGAATGAGGTAAGAAAAAGCAAAAGAATGTCCTTAATATTTACAAGTGAGCCACTTTTTAAAAAGGCTGTGGAGTAGCACCTGCTTATGGTAAACAAAAAAAAAAAAATCAAAGTATATAGAAAGGAAAATGAAAGCTAAATCTTTCTAGAGATTACTTAATAAACACTATGATCTCATTCTTTATTTTTATTTTTATTTTTTTTTTTTAAAGATAGGGTCTCGCTGTGCTGTTCAGGCTGGCCTTGAGCTCACTTTGTAGCCCAGGCTGGTTTCGAACTTGCAACAATCCTCCTGCCTCAGCTTCCTGAGTGCCAGGATTACAGGCATGAGCCACCCTGCCCGGCTATGATCTCATTCTTATGTACCAACCTTAGCAAAAATGTAAGTATGCATATATGTTTGTACTTAGCTATACATAAGATATATGTGTTTATATAAATGTGTAAATATTATAAGTATGAAGCATATATTTTTGCTCCAAAATATCTGAACAAATATATATGAGTAAAAGTATATAACATCTAGAAGTATATAACTTCGAGGTGTGCATAGACACATAGTTTTTTCTTTATTGTCTAGCCAGGCGACACACTGACCTCCTGTGAGACACAGTGCTCTGTGCCATTTCATCTGTGCAGGGCAGGACACCTGAGCTAGGGAGTCTCTCAGGACCGGGGTGCATGGCAGCAGCTCTGGGGTTGAGCACTTGGTGATGCGCACGGTGGTCCTCACCACGGGCTGCCCGGACCTGGGTTGAGAGCTTTGTCCTGAACACCATGTTTAGCAGTCTGTGCCACCTCGTTCTTACTGTTCCCCTTCTGCTCTCCCACGGCTGTTTTGGGGGAGCCTTTGCCTGCCTGCAGTGAGAATCAGGAAGGGGCCATCTGCCTCTGGCCTCCTCCTCTCTGTGTGTGGGGTGTGTGGAGGGAGAGCAGCTGCAGCAGTGGCAGCTCCCTTAAGGCAGAAGACATGAGAGGACATGGCAGGGACAGTCTGTGCTGCTTGGCTGCCAGGGTTGTGATCCTGACTGAGTGGTTTGCAGTAGAGATGCTGAAAGGAAGGGAAATGATAGGCGACCCCCAGGTCTCCCAACAACAAGAAGCAGTGTCTGAAACTACTGCTAACAGGACTGGGAGTCAATTAGCCTGTGATCCACAGAGTCAATAAATCAAGTGTCACCTAGGCAGCAGCCGGGACCCTCCTCCCTTCATGGTGAATCTATGCCCCTGAAACACTCTGGCAGCAGCAGCTACCATGGAAGCCTAGGACATAGTGAAAACGTCACCCTAGAAAGCGACATGAGGGATCCCAAGCTGGTCTCAGAAGCCTGTGCATCCTGCTCTCTCAGAGGCTGCTGCCCATGACAGTGACGTGAGGAGCCCTCCCGGCTGGCTGATACAGGACGTGTAGTCCTGTCTGCCATGCTGCCCTTGGCCACACCCCCAGCTGACCACACGAGTGAGACCAGCTGTGTCCAGGCAAGCCTGGCTCAACTGAGCAGAACAACCCAGGTGACCGGTGGACCTGTGGGCAAAATTAAATGATTCTCTTTAAGCTGCTGAAGTTTGAGATCAGTTCATCATGCGGCCTAGCTCAGTGATACACAGAACACGAATGTCAGCCCCGTCCTGAGACTTCCATGGTGCCCGGAAGACTTGCCCTGTGAATACTGTGTTTCCAGAGATACTGGGCTTCACCGTTCAGATGGAGCACATGAAGCAATAATCACAATGGCTGGGTTTGGTTTCTGCAGCCAAGGGCTCTCAACCTCTCAGCAGGAACGTCAGGAAGGAGAAGGCTCTAGTGGGCAGAGATGAGCGGGGCAGGGGCTTTGGGAGGACCGAGAGCTCCCTGGAGCAGGGTCCTACCTCTCCTGCCACGTGTTCCTGCCTGAAACAGTGCCCTTACATCCATTGTGTCCCAGCATCACCCCAACAGAAGTGGGGCAGAGACCTGGTAGGAACATTTGGGACCCATAGGCAAGAGGCTGCGGTGGGGACAGAGCAGAAGAAACTGAGGGTGATGGTATTGCACACTTCTGGCACCTCCTGCATCCAATGCTCCCCCCAGGTCCTATAGCACCAGTAGCATAGTAGCCACGTGAAGGAGGAAACGGGAAGAAAATCCACACTTCAGAAAATGGGACCAGATAAACAAGACTCCTGCATACTAAGAGTTAATGAGATTTTGAAGCTCTTCGAAGGCACAGAGGAAGACCTGGCCACATGGAAAGACAGCTTCTGTGCTGGAAAGACAGCACCCTGAATGCGTCAATTTCCCCTGGACTGACTGATGGTTCAACGCTGTCCCAATACATGCATCAGTTGTGATTCAGTCACCCCAGTGTCACCACACTGGCATTTGGACAGCAGGAATTTATCCAGGGTCAAGTGGTTATTATCCTGTGCCCCAAGCAGGACAAGGGAAGTGGCCCAGAGCCCATGGACTCTTGGAGACCTTGGAGTGGTGGCTGCAGAGCGGGCTGTGTGGGCTGACTGCTGGAGTGTGTCATGTCCAGATTGTATTTCTCCTTTGCTTTTTCCTGTCTCTTTTTCTTTTGGAGTTTAGAGGATGAACCACAGGGCCTTGTGCATGGATGCAGAGGTGCCATTAATGGTATCTGATCATCAAGAGTCTCAACTGCAGTGAGTTTTACCCCCAGGGAGATAATTTTGATCATCATGACTCCATGTATGACCAGAATCATGGGGGCAGAGGCCAGGGATGCTACTAAACCTTCACAGCATCTCCAAGTGTCCTCCCCAACTGAGGACGCCACTGCCCAATGCCAGCAGCACCTGGCTTTCGTCAGTCATGGGGTACTTGCTGGGTGTAACCTAAAGCAGTGCTCACAAACTCACAACTTAAAAATTCATGCAGATTTTGTATTTTGCTCTTTATGGAAAATCATATTACAGATTGCTCACCATGGCTAAGGTGAAGTTCTAGCTTGAGTCCAGTCTTAGGGCCTCCCGCACCCATAGCACACTACCTCTACCTCAGTGGAGTTAGTTCCTAACCCGCTAACCACAGGGTGGTGGCCCAGTTAATGACCAGAGCAGACCCCCAGAGCAGACCAGGGATCCGGTGGGTACCTGCCTGGTGGAAGCCTGTGATGGCTTCCTTTTCTAAACACTCAGTTATACTAATTTTTATTTTCTGGCTACTTAAGTATCTTAATGCAACATTGACATTCTTTAACAAAAGTTGTTCTATTCTTTATTATGAACATCACATTCACTTTAGAATAATTGGAATATAGAGACTATGAAGAAGAGAATAAAAATCTTTTATAACTTTCCATGAATAAATGATCTGTAGTACTATTTTGTGGACTTGTGCCAGTTTTATATATAAATGCAAAGGATAAGAACAGGCTTAAAAATGAGTTTAGGATCATAAAGCATATACATTTTACTTGGCCTGCTGTGCTTGTCACTCACTGTTAGGTAACGGACATTTTCTCATGAATTTAATACTCTTCTGTGTCATAGTTGTTTTTTAGTTTTATCAAGTACATCTTTCATAATTTATTTCCTCATTTTCTTAGGTATATATGGAAAGTTATTTCTGGTTTTTAAAATCTGCTTTATGTTTAAAGTGAACATAATTTTATATGTGTCTTTTCATCTCTGTTTATCTCCTTAGGCAGAATTTCCAAAAGAGGGAATTTTGGATGAAAAAGAATGAATGTTTGAAGCTTCTGGATGTAGATAGCCATATTACCGCCCTTTATAATGACTGTTAGAATTTAGATTTTCATCAGAAATCCACAAAACTCCATTACCAGTCCATCTCAATAGGATTTAAGAATTACAATTTTTTAAGAGTTTTACTAATTTGCTGGACAAAAATGGGACCTCAATGTTTTGCATGAAATGATTTTCTCCCTGCAGGTTGAGTTGAGTCTGTTTTAGTCTCAGTCATGCACTTGTGTTCCTGCCTAGAGAACAGTTTAGCGCAGCTTCGAGGATTTCCCAGGACTGCTTTTCTTTTATGAGATTCTCCTCATCAGCATGTAAGAGCTTCGTAACAACTCACTGTGAAAGATGGGCAGATGGCAAACGAGCACATGAAACCCTGCCTCACATCTTCGGCTTACAGGGAAATGCAAGGTGACCTCCCTACCAATAAACCAGCCCAGTCCCAGGACCGGAAGCAGTGCCCGTAGGTGAGGGGGACCAGTAGAAGGAGCTCTCACATTCATATCTGGTGCAAGTACAAAATGGACCAGCCTCTCTGGCAGGCAGCTTAGCGGTTTGTTAAGGAACTAAACACATTTCCACTGCAGGATTCAGAAGCTGGGCTCCTCGTATGCACAAATGCTGGTGATTTAAGTTTGCACAGCATTTGCACAGCCTTCCACTTGACTGTCAAAAACTGGAAGCGACCAGCACGCCCTCGCTGGCAAGAGGTGCATGCAGGTGGCTGAAAGGCATTCAGCGCTGAGGAGGAATGGTCTCTGAAACCATGAAAAGACGGGAGGCGCTTCCAACACATATGACCAAGTGAAGGAAGCAATGAGAAGGGGCTTTGCACTGCAGAAGTCCACCGAGGCCTTTTCTTCCACCTCTCTTCACAACAGAAATGAAAAGTGGAATTGAACGGGCAGCAGCTGTCTCAGCGGCTGAGCTGCAGACCTCTGCAGCAGCACCTTCGAACCTTCGTCTGGCTGCTGAGCGCAGAGCAGGACTCAGGAGCATCCCAGTGTGCTCCCGGCAGGAGGTCCTGGCACCCACCGGCCTGAGCCTGACCCCATGCTGATTAAATTTTAGCAGGCGGCAAGGGGTCCTCGCCTATCCCAGGCTTGACTAATCACTCTCTCCCCAGCAGCCCTGCCCCACTCCTTCCTGGATGGCTTCCATAGTCCCTCTCTGGCAAGCAGCCACTTCACACGTCCTGGCCTGGAGATTTGTGCCCCGTATCCTCCTGGAGAAGTAACGATTCACGTTATGTGCTGTCTGCCCCTCAGAGGGTTTCTGGGAGACCTGTCCTCATTCCTAAGATTTCCCCAGTAGTAAAGATGCTGGCAAGTGAGGAATCAGGTGTTGGGGTGTCATCATCAGAGCCATCAGGGTGGTGGTGTTTCCTGCGGATGTGGAGGACTTCAAGTTACCTGTCACCTCTAGGGTTCTCAGTGCTGTCTGCAAAGGAAGAAGTTCCACATTTGCTGCCGGGTGCCACAGTGACTTGTCTTTGCTGTCCCATCAGTATCTCTGCAAGGGTCACATTCTTTTTTGCTGACGGCAGATGCACATCTTGCCGGTACTTTATGCCCGAGAGCGGCGACTCTCAGTCTCTGATTGGGTTTTGCACAAACTGCACTGGGGCTGGTGGTGATTATCAGCCATGTCCCTTGGGCCTTAGACTGTCTCGCACAGGCATCTCCGAATCCCAGCATGAGCATTGCTGGGCCCTGGGGCTTCTTCCCCATGGCTGCCCCGTACCCTTGGGGAACAAATCTCTACCAGCAGTTTATATGGGGCACCCTTGCCACAGGCTGTTTTTAGGAGACCCCCAAGTGAGATGCAAGTGAACCACTGGGCTGACTGACCATTCATGAGTCTGTCTCTCCACTTGCTATCTCAAATGTGAAAGATGCTTTAGTGATGCTTTAGACCCAACTTAGTAGACCACTAAGTTAAACAGGGGAATTCTGCCATAAGTGCAGGGGAAAAGATTTCCTTCTCTCCTTCCCTTCTGCTTGCTCCTTGCTGCTTTCTCCAGTATTTCTGAGCACCAGTGGGTACAGGAGCTCAGATCTCTAAGAGGCCAGGCAGGCAGTGTCCATGGGTGAGGCAGGGCCAGGCAATTGGGGATCCCTGGGTCTAGGCCAACACCATGGCCCCTGTAAAGGGCTCTTCTCCTCCTCGCCTTTCTCCTCTTCCTTTTTCTCATTGCCATATAGCCCAAATAAAACACAGGACCAGGATGCTAAAGGCGAGGGACGGGTGGCAGAGCTGTTTTGTGAGACACTCACCATCCGTGCCTTTGCTTAGGCAGAGATGACATTTCAGAAGTGGCTCTTTCTTCAGTGCTGATGAAGCAGCCAGAACAACCAAGAGGAACTCTGCTCACGGTGACACACTGTCAGTGACAAGATTCTACAGTACTGTCCGAGAGTGTCACTCTGAAACAAGGAAAGACCCATTCCTGCAGCCTGGGGAAAGCCGCGTGAGAATTCATGTATTTTTCATCTTGAGCACTTTTGTTTCTAAAATATTTACAGGCTGTCGCCTGAAGATCAGCCGTAACAATTTTCTTCTTAAGTTTCAGCGTGCTTGGCATGCCCTGTGGAGGAACCACACATTCGCGGCAGCCTGGGAGCTGCGGATGGAGTAGAGGGGAACATGGTACCAGCTTTGCCACCTGGTGGGGACATTCAGAGGCCGTGGAAAACGTCATCTGCATTGTAGGCATGGACGGAGCCTTGGGTACTCAGGGCCTGAGGCTTCAGGTGACATGGAAATGCCTGGCAGCGAAAAGCCATGCTGCCGAGAGAGGCGGCATCTGCCACTGTCATCTAGTCCTCTCAGCTGTCATCTCTCCTTCCCAGCCACAGAGGGAATGATGAGTCAAGGGGACGAGCTGCCTGCCTGTCACAGGTTCTGACCTAAATGCTCTGTAAGGAGTTTGGGCATTGGAAAGAGCAGCAGAAACACCGCCTGCTGCCTGCCTGTTCACTGGTGGCCATCCTCCATGTGCTCTGTGTCACCACAGTCTGCCGTGGCTGTGGGATAGAAGCCCATGACACTATTTCCTAAGCAGGCTCTGTCCAGGTGTGGTCATGATTGCTGTGATTGCTCCTCCAAGGACCTGATTCCATTCACGCCAAGGACTCTGCCCTTCCCTGCTTCCCTGCTTCTGGAGCCCTTGACGGAATGCATGAGAGGCGACTCTCCTGAGGGGCAAGGTCTTGACACACTTAGAAAGCTTCCCCTGCTGTCTTGGGGTGACTTACAGCTGAATGGGAAGCTTGTCATTTTGGGGAAATTTAAGCCTTGGGGTTGCTGTGCTTCCCCTCCCCCTTCCCAAAAGGATTTCCCAGCCCAGGAGAGCCTGATGGCCTCGCTAGCTGGAGGATGCACACATTCAAATGCCGCCTCGTGAGGGGACCAGGCTGCACTTCGAGCTCTCTGATGGAGCCCAGCTCTTTTCTATTTGTGCTGTTTACTAATGTCCATGTCTGATCACAGGGTGCTGGTGTGAGGTCACCAGGAGCCATTTCTAGCATGGCGCTGTCCCTGATTCAGGAACATCCCTCGCTCTAGGGTCCCATCATGGATCTCTGCACCCGGCTCCCTGGAGGGAACTAGTCAAAAATGAAGGACAGGGAATAACTGTCACCAGATCAACTGTTCAACCACCTGGGCTATAAAAGAGAAAGCCAGGTGATGTCCAGTGGACCTGGAGTAGTGACAGCCTGTTTCCATGGTGCTAGGGGCTGCCTGTCCTTCTTAGAATTGATGGGAAAGCTTCCCAGGGCCACAAACCCAGGGGCACAAAACGCTGGCCTTCTGTGACCCAGTTCATTGTTCGTCTTTAGAAGTGAGGGTACTGAGCATACTGGTTGGGACAGTGACGGCGGATGAGAAGATCAGTCACCCTGGCTCACACTCCAGTCACCGTCTCACTTAGCTGATTACAGCCACAATGATCCTCTTCCAGGCGAGGTGAGCAGCTGAGGACAAGGGCTAAGACTTCCATGGTGAATATCTGAGTACACAGCAGCAGAAGGGGAGCATAAGGCGTGATGTTTCCATTCAGGCCTTTGATGGAATTTTACAGTGCAAAAGGTACTTTTCCATGTGGGCTGAAAGCTATTCTGAGAGACCTTTAGTTTGGGAGTCTTTTTAGGGAGGACAAGTGCTCTAACTTGGGACCAAAGTTTTCCTGAAATCCAGGTATGCAGGGTATGATCAGGTGGGGACGTCATAGGAATAGAAGCCTTAGGACAGGAGGATGGGGCTTAGAGCAGAGATAGAGCTGCAAGGAGCCAGGTGGGCAGGAGGGCAGCCCCAAGACCCAGAGTGCCTGGTGGGGACCCTCAGCTTTCCTGCTCCTGGAGGACCCACTGGGATGTCCCCATTCCCCCATTCTCACGAGAGGCCACTTTCTGAAGCTACCTGGTCCCCATTCTTACAACCAGACAGGTGTGTGTCTGGGTCACCACAGAGTTCATCAATAGGCACCTAATGGGGCCACCACACCCAGAAGGGCCATTTTCTTTCTGTTGTGGAAGTGAGAAAGTCCTACCCCAGGCTCTTGTTATCTCAGATTACAAGACACAATCTGCAAGGTCTCCAGTGACACCTGGAAAACCTTAGTGGCATCTTGTTGAAACTTGGGGTGGGGCACACTTAGGGGTCAGGGCATTGAAGTGGCTTGTGCCGACGCGCAGCTTGGGAACTGGTGCTCCTAACTCCTGATCTGCAGGATCCATTACATTAGGGAGTTTGAGGGGTGGCTCGGTGTCAGTAGGGACTGGAATCAACGTGTGACAGGCACTGGTGGTAAAGCGGGGACTGACCCCAGGCATGTCCTGCTCCCCCAGAGGGGCTTCTGTCTGTCTGACCTCAGAGCAGAGGCCCTCCTTGTGTCCCTTGTCCTTGAGCTGTCTCCTCCCAGACTCCCCCCAGGAGCTCAGAGTTGCACTCTTGGCTGTTTCCCCCAGGGCCCCACTCCCCGTGGGCTGCTTTCCCCTGGCTGTCCCCTCTGTACAGGTCAGGCCCCGTGCGCCCCAGCATTGTCTTTCCCAGCCCTCTGCCCATTTCTGCTTCTCTATCCACAGTGTGGCCGCCCCGGCTCCCCCAACCCTGTCCCACCTTGGCAGCAGCTAGGGCTGGGGCAGCAGGGACATCTTTACCTTGTTCACACCATCGGCCATGGCCTGTAGCGTGAGCTCTCGGGGCCCATCCACTGTCTTGCCGTTGTCTGTGGGGCCCCAGCTGGCACTGTAGATATCGATGAGTTGGGGCATGTGGCTGATGGAAGAGGCCTCAATGACATCGGTCATGAAGGGCTGGTCCAGCATGCGGATGCCTGTGGATGGGTACAACAGGGCACAGGGCTTTGGCACACAGTTCTCAGGAGACACAGGCCTGGGGAAGAGTGTGGCTCCCAGATTTGGCTGGAGAGTTGGTCACCTCGGATGCCCTGGGCACAATGGAGTGCAAGGACCCAAAGGATGCCCAGGCCAGGTGCAGTGGTACAGGACTATAATCCCAGCTGCCTGGGAGGCCGAGGCAGGAGGATTTCAAGCTCTAGGTCAGCCTGAGCAACTTAGTGAGACCCTGTCTACAAGGAGAATAAAAAGGGCTGGGAGTGTGGCTTTATACTTCTTGGGTACAGTCCTAAGTACTAGAAAAGAAAAAGGTGCATAGAGGGTCCCTCGCACTCTTGTGGCCCCAGTCTTGCCTATCTTTGTGAGTCTACTTGAGGGAAGCCCTTCCCTCACAACCTTGGCTGCTTCCTGACAGGGAAGGTGGCTTTTGGGATGAGATCCTGGCCTGCAGTGCCTGCAGTGTGTCCCCTGAAGGTTCGGGCTGGGAGCTTGGTTGTGGTGTGAGGATGTGGGGCCCTTAGAAGGTGACTGAGGCCCAAAAAGCACTGTCATGGGAGATTGATGCTATTCTTGGGAGTCCCCCATTGACTCCCCCCTCAGGAGGACTTGTGTCACATTACAGGGCAGAGGTGTTCTGCTCCCTTCTCCTTGCATCCACTCCTCCCTTTCTTCTTTCCCTTTCTCTCTTTCTCTCTAGCTTAGGCTGGCCTTGAACTCTAGGTGACCCTCATGCCTCAGCCTCCCGAGTGCTGGGATTGCAGATGTGTACCACCACACCTGGCTGTTAGTTGCATTTTAAAATAAATAATATAGAGGCGCACCCAAAGCAAACTGCAGTTTCTTCAATATTTGTGAAATTAAAGAAGTAGGCAATGAAATGGCAACAATGAAGCTTTCAAATAATCTTTTCTGTTTCTTTGGATTTCCTTTTGTTTTTTGAGACAAGGTCTTACTCTGTAGCTCAGACTGGCCTTGAACTCAAGGTAATCCTCCTGCCTCAGCCTCTGGAATACTGGGCTTACAGATGTGGGCCACCATGCCTGGCTGTGTTTTGGGGAATTATTAAAACTTCAAGTCTGCACCAAGATGCTTGCTGGCTGATGGTGGTAACTGGGCAGACACTGCTTTGGGTAAGAATGTGTGTTCCTTTCCTGCCTGGGAGGCATGGAGAAGAGGTGGTGACTGCTGTCTCCATGGAAATGCGTTGAAAACTACAGGGGCCCATCCAGAACAGATTTCCAAGCTTTGGGAGAGCCCCAGGGTGGAGCAGGCTTGCAAGAAGGAGGGAAGTTGTAGCTTGGCTTGGAGGTGCAGGCTGGGACCAGCCCACCTACCTGGGAGAGTGAGGGTTTAAAAAGATTGCTTTTAAAATTTAAGGTAGGGTGGGACAAATTCACTAATTTTCCCAGGCTGGGTTTGAACTTGTGATTCTCTGGCCTCAGCCTCCCAGAGTGCTGGAATTATAAGTTTGTTCCACTGTGCTCCACTGGGCAAGAGTTTTTTAAAAAATATTTTATGAAAATATAGGACAAATTTCATAACCAAATAATATGAGGATAACAATAATTACTGCAGTGTGAATTGTTCTCTTCAAAGTAGTCACTGAGTACAAGACAAACCAAAAAGATTCTAACAAGAAACAGCTGACAATAGCACAGATTTTCTTACAAACTAAAATAAACTTAGTATAAATGACACAAATTAGTGTACATATGAAATGAAATGTTTTTAAAACAACAGCATATGTAATTTGGGGAGAGATTTCAACTTCCTTTCACCTCCTGTTTATCTCTCTTCTATTTTGCTCTTATTTTGTATCTATATTGTGTTTCTCATAAATGAGAAACCATGCGGTATTTGAGCCTGTGTGTCTGACTTACTTCACTTAATACAGTGTCATGTCCTCCAGCTGCATCCGTTTACCTATGAATGTCTCAAGTTTATCTTTCTTTACGGCAGTGTATACTCCTCATACATGCACCTGTTGGTGGACATACAGGCTGTTTCCAGGTGCTAGCTATTATGAACAGTTGTGCTATAAAAAGGGGTATGCATGGCACCCCATAATGTGGTCACGCTAACTCTTTTGGGAAGATCCTTGGAAGGAGGTTAGCTGGGTCAAATGCAATGTCTTTGGTTTTCATTTCATTTTTTTTTATTTTTTGATTTTAAGGGTTTTCTACACTGGTTTGGGAAAGTGTTTCTAAAGGATTCACATCGGGTGCAAGATTATTCTATGATTCACTGTTATTTGGCCTCCATATTTCAATTTTGTCCCCTGTAAAAGCACGACAATACTGTATACTGATCAGAATCTAACACACGTAGCAGCTCTGCTGGGATTGTACAGGCTGTGGAGAGAGCAGGGTCCCCCTGGGGTGTCAGCATCCCCAATCTGTGTCACTGTTGGGGCATCTGCACTAAAGGAGGTTAGATCTCAAGATGCTGATGGGTAAGCAGGTGAGGTCAGCACCAGGGGGCACCTGAGGTTGGGGCTGGAAAAGCAACCAGTGTGAGTGGTGCCAGGAGGGGGCAGTTTTTTAATCCAGGGATTGAAATTCTGCTGGTGCTGGGGCCATCGGTTCTTCATCCCTGGACGTCACAGGCCTCCCTGTGGCCACCGATGTTCATCCATGGTCTCCCTCTTCCTCCGCCTTTGCAGTCATGGTTTAGCAGCCAGGCTGGGCACCTGCAGTGAGCTGCACTTGAGTGGGGATGGGGTGGGGGGGTTGGGGAGAGGCAGAGCTGGTTCACTGAGGTCCGCTCTACCTGAGCCGTGGGAAAGTACTGCTTGGCTAGGGAGATCTGTGAGGGTGAAGTGGGGGCCCTGTCCTCATCCTGTCATCAGTTGGGGGAGTAAAGCAGAGTGAAAGCAGACCCAGCACTCCCTGTCAGGACTGCAGTCCCTCAGCTTTCAGACCCAGGGTCTTTGGCCTGCACCCCAGGGTCTCCAGGTGCAGACAGACTGTTATGAGGAGTGCCAGCCCCAAATTCCTGTCTCTGTACTATCAGTCATCTATCATCTACATATGCATGTATCAATTATCTATCATGTATGCACGTTATCTATCATGTATGTACCTATGTATCCATCACCTGTCTTTTTATTAGTACTGGGGATTGAACCCCAGGCCTCTGCACTGAGCCGCCTTTTAAGGAATGTGCATTTAGAGTTGGGGTCTCTCTGGGTCACCGAGTTGCCCAGTCTGGGCTGGGCCGGCTTCCCCCCTGCCACTCAGCCTCCTGGGGCCCGGGCACTGCCTGGCTGCACTGTCTCTTCTTGCTTTTGTCTCCTGGGAGAAGCCTGACTCACACAAGGCACAAAAATCTACAAGGACCAGCACCAGGGAGGGCTGGGAAAGGGAGACTCAGGGTGCTTTCATCAAGCACAGAGGAGGTGACTGGTGGAGGGGCGGTGTTGGGGGACGCAGTGGGGTTCTGGATGCCGAGGGAGGAGGAGGAGGTGCTGGGCAGACATGGTGGGTGTTCTGGGCAGAGGAAGGGCCCTCTGGAAAGCAATGGCTGTGGTTTCTAACTTATGTTTTAGGCAGTTTGGGAAAGCGTTTCTAAAGGATTCACATCGGGTGCAAGATTATCGGTTTTATCCTAATAGGTCTTAACCCCAGACACGAAAACGTGTGTACATGGGGATTCATCCACAGCGAAGCGGGTGCAGAAGTCATGGGGACACGGACTCACCGACCTCTTCAGCTAGGCCTGCCTGCGGCCCGTGGGGACAAGCGATGATCGCAGTTGGCCACCAGGTGGCGAGCGAGCCCGCCCAGCTCAGAAAGCTCCTGAAAGGAGGATTCTTTCCAAAACTTTGGCCAGTTTTTTGAGCAAATAATTAAAACCCAGCCAACTCCTGGACTTGTCAGCCAGAGTAAGTAACCCGTCCCACCTAAGTCTGTCAGGGTGCGGGGCCTGGAACTCTGGTTTTGTTTGCAGTTCTTGGGCACCTCTCCAGAGCTTCGGGCAAACTACACTGTGCCTGGGTGTAGACTGGCAGCCAAGGGAGGAGGGTTACCCAGGGTGTGGACCGAGCCCGAGGGAGGGTTTCCCTGGTCTGGACAGGGGAGCAGCTCAGTTGGAGACCCAGCCTGTCTGGTGGGCAGCCCAGGTGCATTCAGAGTGCAAACAATAAGGGAGGAGAGAAAAAGTGACAAGAAGCCAACGGGAAGGCACCCTGCGCCGCGTGCCCAGAAAGCAGGGAGCCAAGCCCCACTTGCTCCCTCTAGCCGGCTGCCCTTCCTCAGACCTCGTGGTTCCCCAAAGCCAGGGCCTTCAGGGTCATCAAGAAGACAATCATGAGAATGAAACATTCAGGTCTGAGTTTTCCTGTGGCCCCTGGCCCAGCTCTGTGTGTGAGTAGCTGCCTGGCCCCAGGGACCGGGGAGTGGGTTGGGGGAGCTCAGCCTGTGATACACTATGCACTGCTTTAATAGGGCCAGTGTGGAGGCCTGCCAAGGGGCAAGGGGCCAGGTGCCCTGTGTGTGCATCTCCGGGACCCAGGATGGAATCTTTTGTGACCTTCTGTACCTAGCTCAGGGCGTAGTGAAAGCTGTTCACACCTCGCTGGTGCAGGGTGTGTGGGTTTTATTTAGGCCCGGAAAATGCGAATGTCAGCACAAAGTAGGTTTACGTTTCCCTTCAGTTGCTGGAGAAAAAATATTAGGACAGTTGTGAAAGAAAGAAAGAAAAAGAAAACCAGAAAAGAAAAGAAAAACAAGTTTGGGTGACTCAGCCTGAATAAATTAAGAACCAATTTGATGCAAAACTTGGAACAGGCCCTGCACCAGTCCATACTTCGGCATCTAGCTCAAAGTTTATGAATCTTTGTCTGTCTGTCTGTCTATCTCTCTCCCTTTTCCTCTTCCTTCTCACATTTTCTTTGAAGGGTGGTAGTGCTGCTTTCTAAATTTCCTGAGACACATCACTCCCATTTCTAAAGCCCCCATGAAAAGAACTTGTTAACATCTTACCCAGTGAAACTTCGGAAGAAGTTCTAGGTAGTTTAGGTCTCCCAAAGATGTGATCCATTGTGCACAATGGCTCTGAGCAGTTTTACACAGGAGGCACACACATATTGTACCCTAAGGTCTCTGAGTCACAGTCAAGTGTTAGTGATTTGGCATAGAAAAATAGTGACTGTGTGAGTTCATTTGTACGAAGTTTGAACACTGGAAATGACCAGCTTTTACTATTAGAATAAGACAGCTGCTGTTGGGTGAATGGGAAGCAGCTGCAGGACGGCTGGGTTTTGCTCTTAGTGGTTACAGGGCGACTGCATCAGTGAGAATCCTTGGGCTATATGCTTTGATCTCTGTGTTACTATATTTAACTTATGATTAAATTAAAAAGTTAAATGTGCGACTTAAATTTCTTCTCACCCTTAAATGGCGTGGCAGGGCCTCTTACCTGCGACCTTGGAGTTGTACGCCACGCCGACCCCGCAGATGTTGTTGTTGGCTGCTGCTGACACCTCTCCTGCACATCTTGTGCCATGGCTGTGGGCAGACAAACGCGAGTGAGACCAGCATCAGGAGTGGGAAGCAACTGATGCTCTGTAATGGTTTGGCTGGGGATGCACCAGCCCGGGGCTGCCCCACCTTTTGTCTGCATAGCCCAATGCCCCCGAATCTCCCTGTTGGTTGCTTGTGTCATGAAGAGGTTTCTGAGAACATTTTTAACCTGGACATTTGATCTTTAAGATTGGAAGTATCTCCCTGCAGAAACTGCACAGGTTTCTTTAAAATGAAGCCCAATATGAAGCAGGTGTGTGCTGGATGGGTGGCTTTGCTCTGTCAGAGGAATTGTGGGCTGTCACTTCTTTCTGAGTATGGCTGAGCACACTGGGGTGCAGTGCTCTCTGTAATGGGGTTGCCACCTTTCCAAGACTTGCTTCACCTGAGTTCCAAACAGGGCCTTTCCAGACTCATGCTAGACTATAGACCTGGAATGTCCCCAAGGGCTGTGTGCTAATAGCTTGGTCCCAGGGTGGTGCTATGGGAAGGCGGTGGAAGCTTTAAAAAGTGGAGACTGGTGGGAGGTTTTCCGTCATGGGGTGAGGAGTGTCCCCGAAAGGGATTGTGAGGCCTCATCCCCTTTTCTCTCTCTATTTCTTAGCTGCTCTCAAGCACCAGATTCTTTGCTTTACAATAGACCCAAAAGGAACACAAGCCACCAACCATGGACTGAACCTTCTGAAAAAAGAGCCAAACCAACTCTTTCCTTTTTATAAACTTATTATCTCAGGCATTTTGTTATAGTAATACGGAGTTGATGGATACATGATGTTCATGTCTGTTCTCTGCAACAGACAGTGTAATTCTCCCTTTTGCTCATTCTCCTTATGCCAAGGGCTCCAGCTGCTTCCTGTTCTCCTGCATGTACTTCCCCTCTTCCTGAACTGCTGGCTTGCTGACTTGAAGGATGAGATGTGACTTGACAGGCCTGACAGCACTGGGTTTCTTTACTGGAGCCGTGTAACGGCACTGGTTGACCTGGGAACTCTGGGCTAGTCTGGGAATATTGTTGGGCTAGGCTGTCAAGGTGCAAGGCCACATGGAGAGAAGGAAGGACAATAACCTCCTCAGATGAGGCACCCAAGAGTTGACAAAGAGCAGCCACTTCTGTCTTCAGACTCCGGCAACTGCAGGTCCATAGCCCTAATTCTGCCCTTTCGTGGGGAGAGGTAGGGCTCCGCACTCCTGAGGAGCACAGAAGAGGACATCTGATCTGGGACAGTAATTCGAATAAACAGCAAGGCTCCTGCAGCTGCTCATGGCCTGTGTCACTCACAGCCTGGGCCTCCTCGAGCTCTGTCCCCATGTTCCCAGTGCCTTCCTGATGGTCTCAGGCTCCTCTGAATGTCGGGAATATGTTTGTCCAAACTCATTTTCACTCGTTTCACTTTGCTTTCCTAGGCACTTGCAGTAGCTCCTCTTGTCTCTAGCACTAAACCCTGCTGTGCAAGGTAGGAGAGCCACCTGGGAGAACGCCGGCCTCCTGAGCAAGCACACTGGGGACACTGTAACTGCAATTGCATTGAATCAACAGCTGAACTTGGTATTGTTAGGTTTACAGCAGTACAATCTTTAACAGCCAAATCTTGGAAACAACCCAAGTGCCCCTCCATTGAGGAATGGACAGAAATGATGTGGTATTGTTATACAATGGAGTACTATTCAGCTATGAATAAAGACTGCATCAAGGCTTTTATAAGTAAGTGAATGTGACTTGAGACCACACTCATAAGTGAAATAAATCAAACTCACATGTGTAAATACCATATTGTCTCCTTAGTGTAAGAAACTGAAAGAGTAAATAAGATTCAAAATCTTCAATAAATATTGTGTAAGGGTAAGAAACTGCTCAAAGAGGAAAAGTAACTAGGGTAGGGGAGATGAGGAAAGGAAGAAGGGAACAGAAAAAAACATAAATTTGTATACATATACATGAGATAGCTAAGAAGAGTATACTACGAAAAGTGCTAGTTCTTAGAAAAGAACAGTTAATACTCATGATCAATTTCACATGTCTATATCTGGTAATCTAAGTGACCATTCTGAAGGTAACAATATGTAATATTACAACCATTGTTAAATTCCTATCATCTTGTTTTGAAAACCTATACCGTTATTGTTTTGGGTTGTTTGTTTGTCTCTTTTGCTTTTTGTTTTTCTTTTCTGTGTCTTTTTTCTCTTAAAAAAAAAAAACCTTGGCATCTTTATATTCTTGTACCTTCCTATCCATGGACCCTGTAATTGTCACCCTGTAATTCAGGGATGCTTGTATGTCTTTGCTAAGTTTCCTAATTGTCTCACATCTTATCTTAGATTTATAATTATTTGGTCAGCTCTGAGCTGTAACGCAGTGTCTAGTAAAAGAAATACTTGGCAGCAGTCTGTCTTGTCCCAGACTGAAAGAGAATGCTGCTGAGGTTGCGCCATTAGGAATGAGGTTTGCTGCAGGATTTTGATAAACAGTCTCTATTATTTTCAATAATTATTTCTCCAATTGCTTCCACATTTTAGGTTGTATCCCATTTATTGAAATTTTATTGGAAGCTGTATTTTTCAATTGCAGTGGGTTCTTTTTGCCTGGATGTCTCCTGTGACTTACTTTTCTTGAACTCACTGTGTAGCCCAGGGAGGTCTTGAACTTGCAGGGATCCTCTTGCCTCAGCCTTAAAAGTGCTGGGATTACAGACATATGCTGCCTCCTCTGGCTGGTTTTTAATTTTGTTTGGTGTATTTTTTTAAGAATTTTTGAATCCTGAACTGCAGCCTATTTTTTAGTTAAATCTTTTTAAAAATTTTAGAAACAAAACAAAACAAAAATGATAGAAATGATACAGAATTTTAAAAAGTAGGAAATTAACACTAGTTAATGTATTTCATATTGTTATCTTAGAAGTAATTGCTCAGATTATAAGACTTAGGCATAAAAAATAGTCAAACAATCAAACAGTGAAAACACAAATTGTTCTTATTATGAACTTACGGAGATTATTAGTATAGTTAGCTTGTATACTCTCTCTCTCTTCTCTTATTCTTTTTTTCTTTTCCCTATCCCAGTTGTTCTTTCCTTTTGAGCACTTTCTTTCTCTTTCATTTTCACAATATCTATTGCACATTTTGGATCTTATTACTCTCTCAGTTTTTTTTAACACTAGGGAGACAATATTATATTTATACATATGAGTTTGATTTGTTTCCCTTAGAGGATGGTTTCAAGTTGCCTCCATTTACCTATAAAAGCCTCAAGTTTATTTTGCTTTGTAGCTGAGTAATACTCTATTGTATAAAAATAGGACATCTTTTTTATCCATTATGCAGTTGATGGACTTTGGGTTGTTTCCAACATTTAGCTATTACAAATTGTGTTGCTATAAACATTATATGTCTCTGTGGCATGATGTTTTCAATTCTTTTGGGAAAATACCCAGAAGGAGAATAGCTGGATTGAAGGGAACCTCCAATTCTAGATTTTTGAGGAATCTCTACACTGATTTCCACAGTGGTTGCACCAGTCTACCCTCTCACCGACAGAAGAGAAGAGTCACTTTTTCCCTACAGCCCTGCCAACATTTGGTATCAGTTGATTTCTTGATGGTAGACATTCTTTTTTTTTTTTTGGCACCGGTTCGAACTCACAACCTTGCGCTTACCAGGCAGGTGCTTATACCACTGAGCTAAATCCCTGGCCCTCATGGATGTTCTTTCTTGAGTGAGATGGAATTTCACTCTTGTTTTAATTTGCATTTCTCCAGTAACCAGTGATGTTGAACATTTCTTCATGTATTTCTTCATCTGAAAAGTGCATATTCATCTCCAATGCCCATTTTTGGATTGAGTCTTTGAATTTGAGCACCTGATGTTTTTCAATTCTTTGTATGTTCTCCATAGAAGTCCTTTGTCTGAGGGACAGTTGGCTAAAATGTTTTCCCATTCCATGGGTGTTATTTTCACTCTGTTGATGATTTCTTTTGAAGTGCAAAAACTTTTTAATCAGATGAGATCCCAGTTGATGATTCTTTGAAGTATTTGCCTTGAAGTTTGTTTTTGTTCATGAACTCTTTGCCTACTTCTATGTCCTCAAGATTTCTACCTATTTTGTCTTCCAGTAGATTTAGTGTTTCTATTTTAATATACAGCCTATTTTGGATATGGATTTTTTCCTCTTCTTTTTTTTCTTTCTTTCTTCCTATGATTGCTTTAGCTGACTCTTTAGTTTTGTATCCTGGATCTTCAATTGAATTTCAAACCTCTGAACTCACAGAGACACTGGGGAGAGACCAGATCAGCTGGCATGGCAGACTCTTGCAACTTGGCCGGTTTACACAGGACTGTCTACACCTTCCAGTCACCGTTGGTCTACAGACTTTCAAAAGACATGGTCTAGAATTACAAATCCTAGAAGCTGGTGAGTCAGCAGGGGTTCTTCTGGTTAGGGAGAACCGGAAAGGAAGCTACACATCCCCTAAGTGCCAGCACTGGCCCTGTTAGCTGAGGAGGGCTGAGAAGGAAGCTATGCAGCCCACTATGTGCCACTGGTGACCAGGATGGCTGAGGAGAATCAGGAAGGAAGCTATGCAGACTCCCATGCACCAACAGCAGCTGGGGACAACCAGGAAGGAGCTCCCTGCACACTGTGAACAACTGGCTGATTTGGAGGAACACAGGCTGAGATGATAGCAACTGAAGTCAAGAAACATCCTAACACTTGTCTTATTTAATTGACTTTGTAAGCCCAAACCCAGTAGTCTGAGCAACAATTTGGTCAACAATATGTAATGTTTGTACATAATGTAATGTAACTATTATGAATTTCCTACTGCCCTATCACTGTTTTATTTCATTTTATTGTTCTGCTTTATTTCTTTTAAAGTTAAAAAGAAAGAAAAAGAAAGTCAAGGTCTGGCATGGCTTGCTGCAGCCTTTTCACCACAACTTTAGACACAGACGTTCCATTGTGATATCTAGAAGAGCTGAAATTTAGTGAT